TTCTGAGTGTTTGAGAATTTCATTAATAGTCAATAAATATGTAATAAAACTGGTAACCAGCAATGCAAACTTATATGAACAAAGGTAGAAAATGGTCAGAACTAAATTCATGAAGTTAAAGCCTCCTGTTTGCTCAAATATTGCTTTCTTATGGAAGAAGCTTGCAATATGATGAAGACAACTTTAAGTGTTTTTGTGTAGGATACAAAAGGTCTTTGAAAGGCCTCCATATCATGTTATGACATTGTAATTTGTTTGGAGATGAGACAGTACTTAATACAACATAAAGTAATTACAGAGCAGCTACTTGGATGTATTCTATTATCTTAACTTGTGCAAATTATAGTTCTTCCAGTGTATCTGAAAAGTACAAGATTCAGGAATCAATACCTCTCTATTGTTTTTCCCTGGTTCCTTTGAGTTAATGGAAATTTTGCTACTTCAGTGAGTTGAGCAGGTGCTATGCAAAAAGAAACTATCTCATCTTCTTAAATGGTATTAACTCCTCCTTTTGTTTGTACCCATATCACACTTCCCTGTAGATGTTGTTGTTTTTATATGGTATATGTAATTCTGTTTAAAGCTTGTTTCTAGCCTTTGAACCACCGCTGTTTTATATGGTGGCTTATTTTAATAGCTTCTGTGCTAGTTGTTCTGTTGTCTATAAATCTCATGAAACCAAACAGTTCTGTCTGCATTGGACAACATCCCCCATCAACCACCTTGCCTCATGCTACCAGATGGAAATGCCCACCATTAGCTCAAAGACAAGGAAAAAGAATGGCTGCCTGCAGGTTCTGAAGGACAAATAGGAAATGAGTTCTGCAGGTTTAAATGCTTCAAGGAAGACTGGAAAAGGAATAGATTTTGCAGCCTCCTAAACTTTCTGAAATCTTATTGCCAGCCACTGGAGCGTCGTCATTTTTTTTTTCCGTTGTTGAAAAATGTTAATGATAAAACAGGCATGAACAACTTTTATTTAAGTCAATAGGAGCTGCAAATGTGTATCTGGAGGGGGAAAAATCTTTTTACCCCAGACCATTCCTCTTAACTTCTATAGAACTTCTATTTTTAGATTTGGCTCTAGCTATTTTTGAAGTTCAATTTTCCCAGCAGGACGTTCTATCAGGTGGTCTCACTCCTAAGGCCAGGTGTTGAACTTTTCATTTTTGTGTGGGGCAGAGGCAGATGTGTCTAGTTTTACTATAAAAGCAGTGCATTACTATCCTACCTTCCTAGCTAGATGCTTTCATTTTAAAGTAGACTTGCAAAGATATAAATTAACTGAACTGTGCAATGAGTAGCTGAGACAGTCAAGATATAATAGATGCATGTGGGTTGTTGAAGGCCAGACTTGACCATTTTTCCAGTGTAGGGTACAGTCCAAACATTTTTCTGTTCTCCTAAAATCATGGATAAGTACAGCTGACAGAAGGTCAGGGAATGCTAACTTCAGTTTAGCTACTCCATATGAGGCAGTTCTACCATTTTTTAGGTTTAAATACTCATTTTTATTGATATTTCACTATCACTGCTGAAGAGTTCAGTACTCCTTACATGTTGTTATGGAAGTGCTTTTTGCAAATTCCTGTCATATCAGTCTAAATACTGAATTTCAACTTTGTTACCGGTTTCCTACAAGATATTCAGGTTTGGTCCCTATGTTTGATAGGATGTGTGTGACCAACACAGGAGCCATAACAAACTGCATAAGGAAAAGTATTACATCATTAGTAACAAGCAAACTTACCTTCGAGTATTTTTCAAGGCTGCATACTTAAGACAATTGATCATTCAATGATTTTTTTCCCCCGTTTCTCTATAGGCAGGGATGCTTTATCTCACAAATGATGGGTAAATAAGCATCTGACATAGATCATGCCACTAACCCTCACCCTCAGTTATTGCCCCTCCAACTTCCCATTCCTGAATTAATTTTACTGCTCTATGCCAGTTACATAATTCTGGAACACCACCTTTCGTGTGGGATTTTTTTTGTATTTACTTCTGTTTCTCTTCTGTCCTCTATTTTCTCATGTCACTAAATTGTTTTAAATGCAATACCTGTATACGCAGTACGCTCAGATGTCCCAGGTTCCTGTAAATATTATTTGCTATGTTGCTGGTTTTCCATTCTATAGTTCACTAGCCAGTAGTGAAGCCGGGCTCTCTGAAGCAGTCAGTTTTTTAGAATTGACTTTTTTGAATGTTAACTTTGTTCATTTCCTCTCTTGTAGCTTTTTGTGATGGACACTATCTAATGGAAAAACGTTGCTGTTTACTACTTTTTAAATATGAATATATTTTGTTCCTTCCTAGTTGGTGGCCATGATTCTAGTGAAGATGCTGCTGCTTGTATGGAACTGATGCTTTGGAAAGTAAAGGAGGATACGAAGGGCAGAAAATGGTGATTTTCTTCAAGAACAGAATAATCAACAGGAAGCCACTTCCTTTTCCATAATATTTCAGTATTAACCACTTTTAGTGTGTATTGCAGTCAATGGGCACGACCATAAAAACATTACTAATATTGCCAATACACCAACCCCCCTGTAATTACATTAAGTACACTAAGTTCCATGGGTGCTGTCTGCACATCACACCTGAAAAGTCAATTTGTCTCCTCCATACTGTTCTCCCCCCCCCCCAAAAGCGTGGTGTAGAAGAAGAATAAAGTGGAGAAATGCTACAATCTTCACACCTGTGCCAGTTTTCCCCAAGAAAAACTAAATGCAGCTAAAACAGAGAGAAGAAGTTGGGCTACATGTAATCTGTACTCTTGTTTATGGAGAAGCTAATGATTAATCTTTTATTTTGACCTGTTTTTGTTAACCTTGCTTTGGAAAGGTGTTTGGTAGGGTCTTTTTTTTTAAATGAAGAACAGTTAGAAAGCAATAAGCTGTGTCAGTTACAATCATCAACCTACAAATTGTTTTTTCCAAATTAAAGGTGTTACTGTTTACGGCAAAGGACATGTTGGCCACTTATTTCTCATGAAGCTACAATTTTTTCTTCATAGACCCATATGTGCTTCCATAATCTGATCTGTAATTTATGCTGTAGCACTAGTTAATGCACAAAATATGAAATTTGGGCAATGTAGGTGTGTGACTTCTCTTTCTTGGTAGAGAACAGATGATGGAGTGCATTGAAATCCTTCCAGTATTATAGCTCAAACTAGATACCTGTGTCATGGAGAGTGCAATTTTACTTATGCATTCTCCTGTTAAAGATTAATGAAATAATGGAAAGGAAAAAATGACACCAAACCTGTAGGCACTAGTGCAGGGACAATGGGGTAAACAACTCTATTCCAAATCAGTAGCAGGGTAAGTGCCTGCTAGAAATAACCATGTGGTAGAATATTATGCCACAGTACGCCATGACAAATGGTTCTTTGCACAAAGTACACTTAGCTAACGAAAACATAAACAGGGAGGTTGCCTGTAGAAGAGCCCAATTTCATTACTCCCCTTTCAACAATGCATCATTTCCCCACCTAGATTGTATTACAAGTTAAGCTTGTAAAGTGGGAGACCTATACTACTTCAATATGTAGGTTTTTTTCAAATAGAGACATTGCATGACTTGGAATGGGTGTGTGCCACACCTAAAAGAAACTTATTACTCACCTCTGAAAAGGCCACAGCTAGCACTCATCAGCCTTTTGTTGACAAAGACATAGGTGCCAAAAATCTTTCTATCACAGCAAAGGGGTACAAAACTTTCTCTAAAAATGACCTGACAAAGGGCTGTATCTAAAAACTTTGCTCGTGGCTGTGTTGCTTGGGGGGGGGGGGGGAAGGAGTTGGTTGTGTGAGCTGTCCAAAGGGCATGAAATGTTTAATCCAAACTTCTCTGCCCCAGGAAGAAGACTGAATGCACATAGGGTTGGTAACAATCGAGGTAATATACACATAGCTCTGAAATTTGTCTTGTACATGTGATTGTGTTTGTACAGAGCTATGGCTGTGTGTTCACATAAACACGGTTTGTTTTAACAGGCAGCCTGTGGCATAATGTAGCTAGCATACCATCAAAGGGGGGTAGTTACAAATGTGGTCCCCCTTAGTGTCCCCTTTCTGGAATAAAGTACCTCTTTAGGGTCTTGGGGGGGCATGCTCACGCCAGCACCAGGACTGTAGTGCTAGCATCCTTTGCAGAACTGGGGGGGGGGGGGAGGGAGGGCTCAAAGCATTAGTGTAACATGATTAGTTTAATCAAAAATGTTAAAGTACCATATCAAGCCATAATCATGCAAGGTCATACACTCATATAAATATCTGGGGTGGTTTTTTGGGGGGGTTGGGGGGGGGGAAAGGTGGTACCACAAACATGTCATGTTGAAGTCTCTTCCCCCAACCCTCATAGGTTTCATAGAGTTGTCCTTGATATATCTGGGAGCATGAGACTCTGTCTAGGTTTCCCTCACCCCCGCACAACCAATTGCAAATTTGGGCCCCAAAAATGTGAGCTGTAAATGGCTTGTGAAGACACGTCTGTGTGATGCTAACTGGTGTGCAGTGTAACCCTGATGGAGGGGTACTGGGCTGTTACAATGTGTCTAAACAGCTTCAACATTCTTCAGCAATTATTTTTAAAATTATTACAGCTTTGACATTATAAAAATTTATCAGCACTTTAGGCAGACTGTGTCCAATAGCTGGCTCATTTGCCCTGTCTCTGTGGGGGATGGATGGTGAGGAGGGGACGCAGCCAGGGGCAGGGACCTGTTGGGGGGTGGCTGTGGAGTTGAGGAAGATTCACCCAGCAGTTGCGAGGAGCCACCATGGCCCAGGTGTCCTTCCTGCCCCCCATGGGCTGAGAGCGAATTAAAGATCTTCATCTGATAGCAAGAGTCCGGAGTCAGTTCTCAGACACACTAATGCAGAAGGCCATTATACTGAAATGTAAAAATATTTCCTGCCCTCTTGACCATCATGTACATTAGCTGAATGATGTGTAGGAGTTGAGAACCTTTTAATAATGCCACTGAAGAAAAATATTTCAAAGGCTTTTAGTACATTATTTGTTAAAGGCGACACAGTAAACTACAGCCAGGCACACAAGGAATAGGGGTGGTCACAAGCAAGTAAGTGAACCTTGCCTGTTTATAATTAACTAATGATCCATACTTAGTCAGTGTATTATTAGACTCAAATACAAAATGAAAAAATTGCACTTGTAGCCAAACTGACCTTTTAGAAATGTGTTTTACAATATGTAATACATTTATGAATGCCCAGTCTTTGTGATAAACGCCCTGTGGCTTTCTAAAATAACACCACTCTCTAATATATATATTGTCAAGATAAACATCGATATTTAATACAGAACTTGGCTATTAAACTGAATGACAAAAAACAAACAGCAGTTGCTTGTATAAATACATGAAAGGATGGGGGAGTTGCTTTACCAAGTGTGAGGTCAGTCGATCGAGATAAATCAATTAACAGTAGGATACCAAGGGAGGAAAAATAACTTCTGAAGTGATTAGAGAGTGGCCCAGACAGTTGACAAGAAGGTGAGAGTAACAGTGGGGAGAAATTACTATTGGGGAAGTTAAGTTTACGTTTTGTAAAGACTGCCCTCACACTTGGTAAAATAATCCCCCCATCCTTTCATGTATTATACCTGCTCCTGTATTTTCACTCCATGCATCTGATGAAGTGGGTTCTAGCCCATGAAAGCTTAAGCCCTAATAAATTCGTTAGTCTTTAAGGAGCCACAAGGACTCCTTGTTGTTTTTGCTGGTAGAGACTAACATGGCTACTACTCTGAAACCTTAGAATTGATGACTTTAGCCCATTCTTACTCAAAACAGTATATACATTCCTACAGTCTATGGAGGCAGAGCTTACTGTAAGATATACAGAATGCTATCTGTGGTTCAACAATATTTTACAAAGAGCTATACACAGCACATCCCATTCTGTGCCCCAGAAGGCTGAGTTTTTGGTTTGTTTAATAGTTATTCAATATATGAAGATTTTTTTCTGTCTTAAGCAGCTTCTTCAGCAGAGCAGTCAATGCCTGCATAGGTAAACTTCTCATACAGCGTGGTATTCACATATGTCTGAAAGAAGAAGAGAGGTTGAAGTAGGTGATGCATGTTTTTCCTCAAGCGCACTAAGCTGTGCTCTAATTATTTTGGGGATATAGAGCTCACTACTTGTGTTTACAGTACCCCCAATGAACTTGACACACATGCCATGGAAAGATTTAGCCTTTGGACTTTAAGCTAGCACAGCCTTACCTTTCGTTCCTCTAACATCCTGTTCAGTGACACCAGGATCTGAGCGAATGACGGCCTTTCATACGGTTTCTCCCGCCAACACTGTCTCATTAGGTCATACCTTTAAAAATCAGACACAACCCGATGAGGACTTGGCAGCATGTCACTGAACACAAGGCCTGCAGATTCCATCTTAAAACCATGGCAAGCAGCCCCAGTTTAAGGCTGGAATTTTCAGGTGAGGTGCACCGAGCAGTGGGAGGCACAGGAGCTGTTATAGCAGTGCTTCACCACCTGAGCCTCTCATTAGGCATTCCCAGACTCCCGCATAGGAATTGGCTTTACTGCATGGCACACAGCCGCATGTATGATCTCCTCCACGGTTTCCTCCAGCGTGGTGGTAACTGTACTGGTGTTGCCCACACCTGTTAAGGTAGCAAACCCATTTCAATTCAAACATGCTTTGTTTTACTTTTTCAACTGCCATATTTGGGCTTAAATTTCCCATGCTTGGCCTTCTTGAAGGTGATCTTTCGTGTGGAACGTTGCGGTGGTTTTCAAAAGGACAGCCACCCAGCCTGTGCAAAGTATAGCACCTCTGGAGGCAAATTGCCATTCTGCAACCAACAGTGCATTCAGGCCTCATACAGCTATATTATTGAATATTTAAAAAAAATCACACATTTGCTGAATCATGGCTTCCCTGAAAACTGCTATTTTCACAGTAAACAATGGAAATAAAATAATAATTAATGAACTTGTTTGCTTACACCTCATCATCGCAGTTGAGAGGCTTTTCCAGTCTGTACCCTTGTGGCAATTTCTCATAGAGTTCTGCACATGTCATTCCACAGTATGGTGTCCCACCTAAAACACAAGATTTTAACACGGGTTTAAGCAAATGTTTCTGGTGCTATCACAAATAAGGATAACCGCGCTCAGCACAAGAGCCACAGGATGGCTCAGCAACAAAATATTTGATGAAGGCAGGTTAAAGATGAAGGAAGATTGTACTGAGTAACTGTATTTGATAATAATAATTTTAGTCGTTATTTATGCTGTGCTAAAACCATGCACAGTGTTTTTATAAAGTAAAAGGCAAACGGGCCAGATCCTCAGCTGGTGTAAAATGGCACAGTTCCATTAATAATGTGTCTCATCAAATTTTTCCAGCCAGTGGCCTGATTCTGATCTCACTTACACTGCCTTCCGTAGCGTTATTCCTGTTTTACACTGCTGTAAGTAAGATCAGACTTAGGTCCCATGTGACCAGTGGTAGTGTTTGCAGGATCAGGCTCTAACTTATATTTGGAGAGTACTCTTAGGGCTAGGTCCACAAAGAAATTTAGGCCTGGTGACATTGACTATAGATACGTAGAAAATCACCGTGATTCACAAAGCCTGAGTTTGGCACCTAAGCTCCCTATACAATGAATGCAGAGAAATCAGCACCTCAGAATGGGCTTTACAAAAAGCCAGCAGGCTAGGTAGCTCCTTGCCTAACATAGCCAATGGGAACTGCCAAGCTGAGGGGTGTGGGCTCCTCCTCCTCCAGCTGTTTTGCAAAAACTCACCTCTAGGGGCCAATCCAGTAGGCATGCTCTGAGCACACTTACCAGATTGGGCCCCATAGGTGACTTAGGTGAAAGAATGCCTAGCTTCTCCTGGTTTCTGTTTGGCTCTGGGGCTTAGGAATCCAGACACATAGCATGGCTGCAGTGCGCACGCTCAGAGGCAGAAACAGGTGCCGACAGGGTTCATGGGCAGCTGAGCAGGGGGTTTGTGAAACCCAGTGCAGCCTGGGATGTAGGTGCCTAAAGTGGCAGTTAAGTGCCTTGGTCCTTTTATTAAGCTCACCCTTGGAATATTTGTTTTTTAAAAGAAAATACCTGGTGTAAATTCCTTGCCATGGGATAATGAAAAGAGTCTCTCTCTACCTTGCTCAGGTAATGTGGTGCCTGACCTGGACTGAGTTGGAATTGTGATGATTTTTTTAAGGGTATTGTGACCAATGCAGGATGTAGTTAATAAATCAAAAGAAAACAGCGGAAGATGTTTGAAAGCGAGGAATGGCTTAGTGGGCTGAATGCAGGGCTGAGAGCCAAGAATACCCAGTAGGGATACTGTACTAGAATATCCCATGCTGGTTTATTTGTCTACCAGAAAAAAATGGATACTTACCTAAACTGACTATTTCCCATAACAGGACACCATATGACCACCTGCAATAGGGACAAAGAAAAAGCACTCATACCTTGATAGGAACAATGATTAAAAGTGAACAGGTGTGATACTGAAGAGAATTTAAAAAGACATTTTGCTAATATACAGAGAACGTAAGTTACAATTCACTCTTTTCATTTTTTTCTGATCAATTTTCTGTTTGGGAGTAAGGATCCAGGCTTTAAAACATATAAGGCCAGATTCTCAGCAGGTGTAGATGAGCATTGTACCACTGACATCAATGGAGCTACACTGATTTACACCAGCTGAGGATCTGGCCCATTTCCTCACTGTCTCTGTCTCATTTAATACACAAAGTGCCAAACTCTTCTCACAGTTCAGTTTCACCAGTGTAAACCCAGAACAATTTCATTGAAGTACATGAAATTATGCTGAATTTACACTGGTGACTGACTTCAATAGCACTAGTCAGGTGGGCAGAAATTGGCTCTTAAAGGAGTCATCAAGAATGTAAGAACAGCCATACTGGGTCAGACCAAAGGTCCATCTAGCCCAGTGTCCTGTCTTCCGACAGTGGCCAATGCCAGGGGCTTCAGAAGGAATGACCAGAACAGGTAATCATCAAATGACCCATCCCTTGTCATTCGTCCCCACCTTCTGGCAAACCTCCTTATGAGGTTTCTTTTTTAACTACGATTATATTCTGCTATTTTGTTTATCTGATTCCAGAAGAGACTGTCATGCAAAGAAGAATTATTTTGTACCTCCTTTTCGTCTCTCCACTTAAAGATTTACAGAGACTAAGTTCAATAGAAAATGACCAAATGTGTCAGACGTCGCATAGAAATGAACCAGCACTATAGTCTATACAGAAAATTTCGGCAGAGGTATCGCCTCTGATTACTTTCCCCTTTTCGCTCAGGTTGTGACCTAGCAAGGCACTTAAACCCCACAAGGAGTCCTGTTGACTTTAATGAGACAGCTCAAGTACTTACAGCTATGCACATGTTTAAGTGCTTTGCTAGATCAAGCCCGTAGAGCTTGGCCAACTCTATCTGATTTCCTGGCATGTACTGCTATCACAGATCTGAACTTTTGCTGTTTTCCTGGATACTTGCTACACTTCGCTGGCAGAAACTGGTGTTCGTATGGGCCTTCCAAAGGTGCATTTGAGTTTGAGTTTCAAACTAGAGATGCCCCTGAACTAACCCCATGTCCAAAATCCCATGTACTTTGTAGAAACTCAGATCTGGACTCAGACCCAAACTTAGCCTGGTTCAGTTTTTCCAGACTATTCCTTGTAGTCTGATAAGCTGTCTGCCCACATGGTGACACATATGCCTGTGTTTTCTGAGTTCCATGAATTAATAGCTGCACGATTAAAAACGCTGGCAAAAAAACTTTCCCCTATGAAGCTTCGATGTTATTAAAGAAAGTCTTGTTAAAAACATGTTAAAGAACTGTACTTACACATCACTGTTTGTGGTGTACACACTGTAATTTAGAGATTCAATTGCCATCCATCGCACTGGAAGCCTTCCCTGGAAGTGATGCCATTAGAATTGCATTACAGGCTATTATATTAATGGTAGTGTTCATAGCTGTTTCAAAACAATCTTACTGAAACCTGCACCACGAACAACCATTACTTACATTAGTGAGCACTTACACAGGTAGCCCCATTCACGTCAATAGGCCTACTGATATACATGCTCCCCAACTTGAGCACTGGTTGTACAATCAGGTCCCAGATGCACAGCTCCCAGTAAAGCAAAGAGAAGTTCTTTCCAAATGAGTGTGGTCCCACTATGAATTGGAAACAATTCTGCTTGCATGATGCACATCCTGTGAACCATTCCTTTCCCATTGACCACAAGGTGTCAGTGACTCAGAGGCAGAATCATGTGGGATTGGATGAAGAGACTCATTAGACAGTTCACTTCTTCCTCTTCAAGGGATGCCAAGGGTTTAGTGCCTGGGAAGTGGTCTTCCTCCCTGAGGAGCCTTGCACATAGGATTCCATCTCATCACTCCCACCCACTCCACCCACTTTTCAATGGAGCCTCTAGGGGAGTGTGCAAGATAGTTTGACCAATGATTCATCAACATTCAGTCTCATTACTTTCTCAGGCCCTGATCCTAATCTTAGGTCACTGGCTTTACACCAGTGCAGACCATGGAGGGATTCACTTTCATATATGAGCTTTGTAAATATCAAATTGGAACATAAGAATCAGTTACATGCCTTTACATTCCTCATTACATTCATGAAATAAATACAAAGGCCAGGGTTGGAGTACAAACTTTCAGCTTGTGCAAAGGATTTGCTTCTAAATAAGTCTGCTTTTCATTAAAAATAATCAGACACTTCTAGCTAGAGTTGTTCCCATCCCTTGCGTGACAGTGTTATATCCCAGAACTCCTTCAGCACATCTGGACAGTTGTCTGTGGTTGTGACACCCTTTTTTGGTAGTTCACTATTTCAGTTGTGAGACAAAGCTGCCTGTGAATAACTAGTTTGCTTTTTTCTTCTTTTCTTTTAATTTAAATTTTTAGTACTCTGAATCGCGACAACAAGACTAATTGTTGTATTTGTCCTATGTGTGACATTCAGAACTACTGAAATCTTACTTATTAGTGATGTCATATGTACCAACATTTACTCTGATCCAAATATCTGTATAGAACAGAATTGCCATTGCTTTAACACATCTGTTTTGCACAATGGGATCCTTAGCTGATGCAAGCTGACATAGCTCCACCTATGTCAATAGAATGAAGCCATCTGAATACAGATTATAGTTGAAAGACGTTTTTTTTAAATGGCTAGTGATGGGCCTCAGCCAAAAAGCTACATCCAAATATCCCTGAACTTTGCATGAAATTTTTGCAACTGGTTCCTTGGACTTTAGGAAGGTTAAGAACCAAACTTTGTCTCTTGGCTCCATCTCTAAAAAAAAGACATAGTGATAACCCCTGATGAGGTGTGATTTTCTCAAAGAATGATCATACTGAACATGTTTGTTTCAATCCTTACCATGGTCTTTTTAACATAAACTTCTTGACCTCTAGACAATCCAAAATCTGCTATTTTTGCAACATAGTTTTCTCCAACCAAGATGTTTCTTGCTGCCAAATCGCGATGAATAAACTACAATAAAGAAAACAGAAATTCTGAGGTAACCCAGTATGCTTAGATGTTCGGCTGTGTGTGTGTGTGTGTGTTCTCCCTGTGTGCTGCCCCAGCTTTGTGCAGACAGCTGCCACAGTAGACGTGGAGCGAACCGCCCAATGACCACAAGAGTCATTAAAGTACGAAGGTGCCAGTCCAGGTTTATTATCAATAAAGCATGGTAATAGCACCTGGTAGACTCTACAAGGATGCTAAGACGTATGCCCATGACCATGGATGCAGCTCAGTGAATGGCGGAACTTTTTGGTCCCCCCTTGGCTGATTCTCCCTCTGAGGTTCATCTTTATACCCTTATACAAACAAGTTAGTACTGCCCCTTTGACATAGTTAATCACTGTCCCCTGACGTGGCTCGTTATCACCTTGATCATGTTGGTTCAATCAGAACATCTCTATTACATACTGTCATCCTGACCTTATCTTTTAGGAGGGGTCAGTGTATTCCTGTTATCCTTGGGGACTGTATAAAAGATCAGTTCTGGAATAGCCCTAACAATACATATTGAATAGAGGTGACAAAAACTAGATCAAGCCCTAAAAACTAAAGCGCTGTGTTTTTAAAAGACAAGGAGCTCAGAGCTGACCTGTTTTTGGCTTAAGTAGTCCATCCCTCTGGCCACATCTGCTGCAAAATGCAGAAGCTGCTGAGAAGACAGCGTGGAGGCAGTGCTGTTGGCAATAGCAAATGCTGGGTCTGTCTCCAGCACTCTGCTCTTCCTTAGGAAATCGAGTAAATTTCCATGGGGAGCATATTCAATAGCCAGGTAAAGATACCCTAATGTAAAACAGAGAGAGCAGTATTACATAACAAGCTAAAAATGGAGACAGTGTCAGTGATTATGCATTTCCCCTGATTGGGTCCCACTACTACAGTATAATGCCACACAAGATTCAAACAAACAAACAAACAAACCTTCTATTTCTCAGATGCAGAAGAAGAAGATGGCAATGATGGCCATTTCAGAAGGATTCTTGTGATTTTATAGTTCAAAAAGCGTTTTTCATAACAGAAATGTTGCAGCCCAGCAGTTCACAGTGTGGAATACAGTGTAGAACCTCAGAGTTACAAACACCTGAGGAATGGAGGTTGTTCCAGACTCTGATTATTCTTTCAAAAGTTTACAAGTGAATTTTGAAACTTTACTGTGCATAAGAAAAATGCTGCTTTTAACCATCTTAATTTAAATGAACCAAGCACAGAAATAGTTTCTTTACCTTGTCAAATCTTTTTTTTTAAATTTCCCTGTATTTTTTTTGGTAGTTTACATTTAACGCAGTACTCTACTTGCTTTTTTTTTTTTTTTTGTCTCTGCTGCTGCCTGATTGCGTACTTCCAGTTCCAAATGAGGTGCGTGGTTGACTCGTCAGTTCGTAACTCTGGTGTTCGTAACTCTAAAGTTCTACTGTAGTAAGTGGCCAGATCATTAACTGGTGTAGATCTATTCACTGCAGTGATCCTCCCAGGTAAATGTTGGCTTATGAACAAACCTCCTGTCCAACTACCCCATTCCTTGGTTTTGAAACAGATTAATTCTGCAAACCACCAAAAAGAGCACTGCTGATCACTGGTGGTCCACAGACCACTGTTTAGCTATGTCGTGTTTTCTGTTTATTATGCATCTAAATATTTTATGTAAAAATCTGCTTATATTTTATGTTATAAAAAGGGTGCCATCTTTCCTTTTCTGAGCACAATAATTACTTTAATATAAGGAGAATTTCTGGCCTGGACAAATATGTAGTTTTATATTTTATTTTATTGGAATTTTTAAAGCCAGGTAAACAAAATATCCTACCCCGATGTTCACATGCTCCCAAAAGATTTATGATATTATGATGATGTCCAAGTTTACAAAGAACTTCCAATTCTCCAGCAAAGTCTCTGTGATCATCCTTTGAGGCATACTCTGAAAATATAAGAAACATTTATTTATGTACTCATCTAAACTGCAGTTAAAACCACGCTGTTGCTACTGTCATTAAGACAAGAACTTGGACTACTGGTTGATGTTGAAAAGGGATAAACTCCATGGTATTCCAGTCTTTACCTAAATAATAAAATCATTCTTCAGTCAAAAACCTAGAGGCATCATAATGTCTTCAACAGTCACACCCAATATGTCACTCCTCCTATGGTATGGAGACACAATATGCCTTAGCAGGTTATACAAATCCATCAGCCTAAAAAAGAGAGTGAGCAGATCTTGATATTGAAGTCCCCAAATACCAAACGCCTTAAAGCATCCAATTCAAGGGTAATAAAAGTAGCCAAGCAAGCTTATTCCAAAAGCCATCGATAGGCTAACGCGATCGTACACCAGAAATATTTTTCACCTAGCACACTTACAATGCAGCACAAAATAAGACTTCTGTGAAGTCTGGTGTAGTAAACCAACTGAACCCACTTTCTGTTTACCTATGATGAAAAGATCTTTAACATCTAAAAATGAGAATATGATCTGAAACATCATAGCACAGTTGTAAAATATGCCTGGTTTTATACCTACCCTGCAAAATCAAATAAACCTCGGCTACCGCTATGATTCATCTTGTCCTTAATTAAGGGTCCAATCTAACCCCAGCTGAAGTCAATCAAAATAATCCACTGAGAGTTGGACTGAGCCTAATGATTCCTAAAGAGCAAAATCAGCAATGCTTGGATCTCTCTGTTTAAAAGATACATTATAAATCTTGGGAGAGTGGCTGGAGAGTTGCCCCTAAACTTATGTTTTAATTTACCATATACCAGCGTTTCATGTCCCTGTTTCTACTTGTCTATTGTAGCTGGCATGTTGGCATAGCCAGAGTGGTATTGCCCTTCTGGGCTACCCACACTTAGACCAGTTTTTCATCCATAAAAGATGCACACTGGGTGTGACGCATGACCAGTGAGGTATTATAGAAGGTTTTGTGCTGGCTTGGTAAATCTAAGTATTGGAATATCCAATACCTGCCCCATTCTTTGCAGTTCATCCTAATTGAGTGACCTCAGTCGGCTCCCCTGGGACTCCGGTCATAGTGGCATAGTCCTGCTTGGACACACATTACCACAGGTTAATTGGGTTTTTGGATCAAAACCACACACTTGTCAAAAATTAATTTTGATAATGGAGAGCTTAAGGGTTAAAAATCAGTTACAGTGAGTGATCCAAATCCTAGGAAGATCCTGACAGAAAAAGCTTGGAAGAATTGTGCTCACAGAGGGGGTTGTCTTTTAAAAAAGGGCCCCAGAGCAAGAACTGAAAAATCTGTTAATGGCCAGTAATCAGGAGGCAGACCCAGCAAAAATGCCTGCAATGAGAAACTAGCAGCAACTTGAACAAAAGCTAATACCTCTTCGATTGCAGGGAAAGCAAAAGATAGCTGATATGGAAAGAGATGCTGCTGAAAGAAAACGCCTGTGTTCTGAACACTAACAAAGAATCACATATATTCAATTGCAGGAACTAGAAGCTAAGGCAAAATGGACAAACTTAAGCTCCAACTCAAGAGAATGAAGGACTGCATCATCCTGAAAAGCTTCTCAACAGCAAAGATGGGGATAGAATCTATCCAGTTTGTAACCATGTTGGTATGTTGTTTGACTCTAAGTAGTTGTCTATGTGTAACTAAAATATACCCCAACTCTGCCACCTTTTATGTAAATGCTTTTACCGCGAGGTGAGGTGAAGGTAACCCCATAACTTGGGCAAAGAATGTAAAAATCAATGGTAAAAGCTGTTTAGGGCAAATTACAGGTTCTAACATCAGTCTTGTTAAAGAGGATCTTGTCAAAGAGGAAGATTACTTACCAGGTGAAAGTGTGAATATTTTAACCCTCTATGAGTTTGCTGTAAATGTGCCTTTAGCCAGAATCCACCTTGAGTGGAATGGCATTAAACATGAAGTTATAGCCGGTGTAAGGAAGTTATTGCCCAAGCATCTTTTGATTGAGCATGATATTAAAGCTTTGTTTAGTCAGGTTAACATAAATCAGTCACAGGAAAGAAATAATCCTAAACCTGTGTCTATTGGGGCAATAACTTGCCTATTGAGGAATTCTCCAAATGTTTGTCTGTGGAAAATAGCTGTTTGTGCAGAAAAGCAGTTTATATGTGAATGAAGTTTCTGAATGTCTGTCTAATATCTCACAAGTGAATCTGGAAATAGATAAAGCGCAGAAAGAACGCATTGGTCAGGAAAATGTTTCTCCAGAGCAGATTAAAGTTGATGATCAAATTAAAAGCCCAAACTAAGGAAGAAAGGATTAAGCACCCTGCAGGACCAATGACTCAAATTCATCCCTTAAAAACATAAGGGGAGACAATGTTTGTGTTTTTGTGTATTTGCATATATATGGGTAGAGATCAACAGTGTAATCAAACAGTCCCTGTCTATGCTGTATTCTGTTAATTCAGAGATCAAAAGAAATTCTTAACAATTAAATGAACTGTAAACCTAGGATATTGCTGTATTCATCTCTCTTTGAAGTATATAGCCAATCATCTGCAAATGGTAGAAAAACAGGCAATTGCTTTATGTGGATCTGTGTGGAGAATTACCTGCCATGCTTAGGAAATGAGTGTCTATTGTTCTCCGAGGGACTCCGATCTGTCACAAGAAGGCCTGAGACTTGGGTCCTGATCCTGTCATCTCAGATCTGCTTGAGGTTTCATGCAGGGGAAGCCTAAGCAACAAGGACTAAGATCCCAGCGCTGACTGGCCCGCCTTGAATATAAACATTGGACTATAACCTATGAACTATTTCTGAAACAACTTTTTGCCTCTACAAAGCTCACCATCTCTGCTATGAGTCTGAATCTCAAGCACTGTACTCATGTCTGTGTGTATACTGGTCTTTTAACTAATCCTCTCTCCCTTTTCTTTTTTAATAAATTTTAGTTTAGTTAATAAGAATTGGCTGTAAGCATGTATTTGGGTAAGATCTGGAATATTCATTAACCTGGGAGGTAATGTGTCCGATCCTTTGGGATTGGTAGAAACTTTTTATATGATTAATAAGCTTTCATTAGTTCTCATCATATTTAACTTGGGTGTCTGGGTGAAGGTCTGAGGCTGGGTTACTTTAAGGGAACTGCGTTGTTGGCTTCTGGGTAACCAGTAAGGTATTATAGAAGGTTTTGTGCTGGCTTGGAAAATCTAAGTATTGGAATATCCTCCAGCTTTGGGGATTGTCTGCCCCATTCTTTGCACTTCATCCTAATTGAGTGACCTCAGTTGGCTCCCCTGGGATTCCGGTCACACTGGGTATCATTAAAAACTAAGCATTCACCATTCCATGCACCAGCAGCAACCAGGTTTTCTCTTCTTTTTCTGAGAATGGATGATAAAATGGCCACCCTTAAACAATTGCCAGTTTCCTCGGATAATGACCTAGAGAGCTGCATAACAACATCTGCACTATTCCAGGCACTATAGTGGCAGTATTCTAGTATTTCTGGAACTTAGATACCATGCTGATAAGCATCTTAAAAGTACCTTAGGGTATGTCTATACTACCTGCCAGATCAGAGGGCAGCAATCGATCCAGCAAGGGTCAAATCGACCCCTGAGCACTCTTCTGTCGACTCCTAAACTCCACCGCTGTGAGAGGCGCAGGCAGAGTCGATGGGGGAGTCCAGCAGTCGACTCACCACGGTGAAGACACCACAGTGAGTAGGTCTAAGTACAGCAACTTCAGCTACATTATTCACGTAGCTGAACCTGCTTAACTTAGATTGATCCCCTCCCCCCGCCCCCGCAGTGTAGACCAGGCCTTAGATAGAGAAGTGATGCCCAAAAAGAAGTAGAAGGAAATTTAAATGACCCTACAAATATACTGCTACCGTATCTATTTATTTAAGGCAACATTGGCAAGTTTTAAAGGCTCTGTGCCATTATCACTGTGGAGTAGCAAATGATGAGATTTTCATGTGACTCATCAAACAGACTGAAACTCATATGGAAGAGTCAGCACTCAATGATACCGGGTTAAACTATAAAAAACACACCGACAGAAAAAAAAGCCATCTCCAGGATGCAAACCTTGGCCAGGCAAAAGCAGAAGTGAGCTTATTATTCATGCTTATTATTTAGTATTTATATTACAGTAGCAGCCAGAGGCCCCAGTCAGAATCAAGGTCCCCTTATGCCAGGCACTGTACAAACCCCGATAAACATAGGGCCCCGGCCTCAAAGACTCTGCAGTCTTTAATGAAAACCGCTGACCTTTCATCCTTTTGATGGCAGCATCCATTCGCAAGCCATCCTTCTTAATTCGTGCTTTAAGGACTTGTCCAAAGTTGCCCTCCCCAATCACATCTTGAAATTTGATGTCATTCCACTCGAGGACTGGATAGATAGTGGGGTCTGGGCTGTTCTTGGCTTTCCTGCTCAGAGTGAGAGTTCCTGAGTTAAACTGGACAGCTGGCTCTTCTCTCTGTGAAAAAAATTAACCACGTTAGTAGTAGTTTGTACCGTATGGAGTAATACCACAGAACTTACTACCCATTCAATATAAGCATATGGGAGCTGAGCCTTCTCTAGCTTATTGTCTTCTGCAGTGTAATTCCTGGTTTATACTGTCTAAATGAGAGGAGTGTCAGACACTCGCTGACCACTTTTATAAAAGTGTAGTGGAGGCTGACAGAAAGTAGGCTACAGGGTTGGGTAAGCTTCCTTCTTCATGCTGAGCAGCTTCCACTGCAGTGTTGAGGAAGAAAGAAGAGAAAGCGAAACATCTGAGCAAACTATTACATCTAGCAACTAAATAGTCTCCGCTCTCTCCCTTGCCTAATCAGGCTGGGGCACATCAAATAGTCTGCTGTGTTTGAGGGGTCATCCTCGCTTTAATTAATGCATCCTCATAGGATTTGCTTCTGTGGAAGAAAAGAGTGTAGGGAGAGTTTCCATGGGACCTAACAACTGGTGATGATGGCCCATACTGTCCACTGTATGAAAGAAGCCGGAAGAGGTGTGGTGCTGCCATTGGCTGGCTCTTGGCCTGCCGTGCCCATCTCTACAGACTGTGGAGGAGCAGTTACTGGGGCTCGGAGTAGCAGTAACTTGCACTGCATTTTACAACCCACGGTGCAGCTTAAATGGAGACTACACCACACCGAGTAGTGTGTTCACAAGCCTTTCTCTGGTCTGGCAGGGCATGCCTCCCGTCCTCACACACATCAGATCACCAACTGGTGCTGCAAAGGAGATAGAAGCAGTAAAGCAGAAGGGGAGACATAGCACATAGTTGCCTTCCTTCTCTAGGTGGACCCTCAACTTTGTATCCCACAGTTGTGATCCCCTGCTCACCTCTGGGTCAGTGATAGGAAAGCTTGACACTATTAATGCTAACACATGCTTTAGGGGGCAGCTTTATTTCAAAAGTCAGAAGAGGAGGAGGAGGGAACCATCAGAAAAAGACAACAGATGAGGCTGAGATGAACAACTGCACCGACAAAGCAAAACTGGAAACTCACCACCACATTTTGGAAGGCTTGAGCCATTCTGCGCTGGAAGTTGGCTCGCTTTAGCTGCAGCATGATGAGAAAGGCCAGGAGGATTGTTAGGCAGGTCATCCCTGCTGAGCCAAGGATAGCAATCAGCAGCATTTTCCCTCCCTTCGATTCATATGGAGCTGTTGAGGGGAAAATGGCACTTAATAGCATCTGGTTAACGTTGACAGTCCTCTGAGGGGAGTAAATATTAGCATTCTCATTTTACAGATGCACAAATGGAGGCCCAGAGAACTTGGGCCTCATCTTCGGTAGTGCTGAGCACCCGTGGCTCCACTGATTTCAACTGGAGCTGGGGGTGCTCAGCATCTCTGAAAGTCAGTCCGTGGGTGGCCAGGCTGGTGAAATTCCATGGCCTGTTTTATGCAGGAGGTCAGATTTGATGAGCTAATGGTCCCTTCTGGCTTTAAACTCTAAGAATCTATGAAACGTTGGGCCCCCAATAACTGGGGCACTGAAAGTCAGCAGCCACTTCTGGAAATTGTGTGACTTGCCCCAGGCTACACAGTGAACCAGTAACAGAGCTGGGATTCAAATTCTAAGGTCTTTGTCCGGATGTGCACTGGGTACATTTTTCTTAAAATCCAACAAAATTCAGAGTAACAAATATAAGCTCATCGGTCCCCAGCTGTGTTCTCAGCTTGCTAACCCACATGGCCCCTCAGACCGCCCAGGCATGGCTTGAACTGAGTTCAGGAAGCTGGGTTAACCAACCTTTTGTTTCCGGGAGAGTCTGCAGTTCAAGAGAGGGATTTGGGTTGCTCAGTCCAATATTGTTCTGTGCACTAATCTGAACCAGATACGCAGTGTTCGGCTCGAGGCCCTTGAGATGATACTGCGTGATGGTTGTGTTTTTTATTGTGACGTCAATGTGGTTGTACTCAGCCTTGCCATAAATCTTGTAGCTGATGATGATGGAGGAGATGGACTGTCCCGCAGCAGTTGACCAAGAGATGATGGCGGAGGTGTCCGTGATGTTGAAAATCTTGATGTTGTCAGGTGATGGCGGGATTCCTATGGACAAAAAAAGAACACGTTCCAGTTTACATCCATCCTTGCTCCTTCTCTTAGCGCCAATCCTTTCCCCAATACTCCCACTGGCTTAAACAGAACCAGGATCAGGGCGACAGCAAATGAAACTTGACTATGTTTTTATAAACTTGACATGGTGCATTTCATTCTGGCACCAACTACTGCAATACTGAACACTTCCAGCAGAGTGTCTTCATGGTATTCCCTATCCTTGCTAGGAAAAAGAAGAGACTGCTCCAGGTACTACTATCCTAGACAAAGGGCTTCCTCTTGAATTAGGGCAGCATAATTTTACCTCCTGACTGGATCAGCATCCCCCTGTGGTTCCAGTATCCCTTACTTTTCATTTCTTTAAGGCCTGTTTTCCTTGTCCATCCAACAGCCATTAGGAAGGGTAGAAGTCAACGGCAAAACTCCCACAGATTTCAATGGGAGCAGGATTGAGCCCTTAGCTGGTGGCCACAATCACAGCTGGCAAGACAAGTTCTCCTTGGAATAATATACCTGTGGTGATATTTCCAGAAGCAGGTCACCACTGTCATGTTTGTAATACATGCAGGGCCCAGCTGTGTAACCTTTACCAGTGTAGGTAAGCACCTGTGCGAATGGGATTAGCACTGAGGTTGCAGGCATGAGCGGTGCAGAGTTGTGCTCTTCCAGAGGAGCGTACTAGAAGCATTGTGCCTCAGGCAAGCACAATGACTTCACGAGTCCCCAGGGAGTGTGGCTGTGGTGACAGTACTGGGGGGGGAGGGAGGGGGCAGGTGAGACGATGGCCTTGCCACCATTCTCATCCCTTCCTACTTCCTTTGAGGATTCTAGCACCAGCATTACGACAGACTCAACTACTCTCTGCACTCAGTGTAGTGCACAGACATTGCATCCTCTCCTCACCCTTCAGTGCTTGGTACAACTCAGCCAGATTTCCCGAATCAGTGAAGATCCTATTGTCTTGGATGGAGCTGTGGGTGCCCAGCACTTCTGAGAATCAGGCCCTGAGGGTGGGATTTTCCAAAGCACCTAAGTGATTTAGGAGCACCCATCCCATTGAAAGTCACTGAGACCTGTGCTCCTGAGTCACTTAGGAACTTTTGAAACTCACATCCTTAGTCTCTGACCAGGTGGATAAGAATTAGTGCTGACCCTCAGTTATCCCTCTGAACAATAGCTAAAAGCAGCTGTAAATGCACATTCAGAAGCACTATGCTATTACTGCAGAGAATTACTGTGACGTTGCACTCCATATGTTTTATGGAAATATGTTTATAAGTGTGGATATGATGTAACTGGAATATGCGTTATTCAAAAGGTCTCTTGTAAGGTATCATTACAAAGCTTATAATCTACTGAGTGTGTTCACCCTATTTGTACGAATGTGTCATCCTTGTATCTGAAGCTAGAAATATGAAGTATTACTCTGAAGTCCTATTGTAACTATGCAAAGTGTGGGCCATTAATGGTGGCTTGGAATCTTGATGGCTCCCATTAACTAGGACAATTGGTTGTGAATGGTTCTGTTTACTCGCAAACCTTCCTGGCTACATGCACGCCAGCCCTGAAAGAATGGAGAATGAGGTCTTACAGTGACATGTGATCATATCACCTGGTACTGGAATCCACCTTAAACCTGGTGCTTTTCCATTTAGAAGGAGGGGTGGGGACCCAGACACACAAAAGATTCCCGCCTTGTGTGAAAGCTATAAAAGGGGGTAGAACAGAACAAAAGGGGCTTCAGTCTTGAGAAAACCCCTAGTTACCACCTGAGCTGGAACTAACAAGAACTGTACCAGAGGAAAGGATTGGGCCCAGCCTACGAAGGAGTCGAGTCTGTGAAAGAAGCTTATTGGAACATTGCTGAGGGTGAGATTTATCTGTATTCAGTTTCTGAAATGTATTAGGCTTAGACTTGCATGTTTTGTTTTATTTTGCTTGGTAATTTACTTTGTTCTGTCTGTTATTTCTTGAAACCACTTAAATCCTACTTTTTATACTTAATAAAATCACTTTTGTTTATTAATTAACCCAGAGTAAGTGATTAATACCTGAGGGAGCAAACAGCTGTGCATCTCTCTCTATCAGTTCTTTTGGTAACCAATTTATTTGAGCATGAGCTTTCGTGAGCTACAGCTCACTTCATCGGATGCATACCGTGGAAACTGCAGCAGACTTTATATACACACAGAGAACATGAAACAGTACCTCCTCCCACCCCACTGTCCTGCTGGTAATAGCTTATCTAAAGTGATCATCAAGTTGGGCCATTTCCAGCACAAATCCAGGTTTTCTCACCCTCCACCCCCCCCCCCCCCACACACACACAAACTCACTCTCCTGCTGGTAATAGCTATCCAGAGAAAACCTGGATTTGTGCTGGAAATGGCCCAACTTGATGATCACTTTAGATAAGCTATTACCAGCAGGACAGTGGGGTGGGAGGAGGTACTGTTTCATGTTCTCTGTGTGTATATAAAGTCTGCTGCAGTTTCCACGGTATGCATCCGATGAAGTGAGCTGTAGCTCACGAAAGCTCATGCTCAAATAAATTGGTTAGTCTCTAAGGTGCCACAAGTACTCCTTTTCTCTCTATCAGTGTTATAGAGGGCGGACAATTTATGAGTTTACCTTGTATAAGCTTTATACAGAATAAATCAGATTTATTTGAGGTATAGATCCCATTGGGTATCTGGGTGCTGGAGACAGGAGCACTTGCTGAGCTGTTTTCAGTTAAGTCTGCAGGTTTGGGGGTGTGGTTCAGACTCTGGGTCTGTGTTGCAGCAGACTGGCATGTCTGGCTCAACAAGACAGGGTTCTGGAGTTCCAAGCTGGCAGGGAAGATGGGCTCAGAGGTAGTTTCAGCACAACAGGTGACAGTCCCAAGGGGGTCTCTGTGACCGAACCCATCACAATTACATTTTACAAAGACCTCTAGCAACATCAGAATCCTGCTGGGGGTGGTTAGGGGGAAGAGGAAGAGAAAGGAATAAATAAAGTAAAGTGAATCCAGTCACTTACTGTCACTGTAGGTCCATGCATACAAATAGTCACTCCACTCTCCTTCAGACCTGGTATTCACACGTACCCTGCACCTATACTGCTGTCTGGGTTCTAAATCATCAATAACCAGGGTGGATATATTTCCTGGCACACGGGTGATAACACTGATCTCATCACCACTGTTGTCATTCACACGCGTCCTTTCCACTTCAACAAGAAGGTCATCTTCTGGCTTCTGTGCTATTGGCTGCCATGACAAAATCAGAGATGTCTTGCTTTTAGGAAGGAGGGTGAGACCTTCTGGTGGAGGAAGACCTTGGAGAATCCACAGAGAGAGAGAGAGAAAAAACTTTATTTTATGTCTTCTGGATACTTGCACGCAAAGGCTGGTATTAAAAAAATAATCTGGAACTGGCCATCTGGGTTAGTGGTTAGTGCTCTGCACTGCCAAATGAGGCCTGAGGTCATCCATAGTACAAATCTTGTCCTCCGTACCTAGCAGAGGCTAGAATTGCTGTTGAGGTCAAATGCTCAGCCCAAGCATGGCGTGTTTTGGGTTGCTTCTCAGGGACATGGCATCCTTGCATGGATCACAATACTGACATTTTTAAATGACTTTAGCATTTTGCAGTGCCCTTGATGGTGCCACTGGAAAGTACTGTCAATCTCTGATGCTGCTGGGCCTGCCACAAGTAGCAGGGTGGTGGATTTCAGATCTTCAGTTTCTCTAAAATGCCATTTGCTTCTCAGAAAATCTGGAATTTCTCCAGCCACCTCCTCCAGCCACGTTCCCTCCTGGACCGAAGGATTCATGCGGCTTCATTTGCTCTGTTTTTGTGAAAGATTGTTTACTTCTAACATTTGGTGATAAGGGTTTCACAAACAGGAGTGCTGGTAAGAAACCAAGGGCCTGATGCCTGATTCTCCACTGCCCTGAACCATGTATAATAATTTATAGTGCTACAAAGTGCATGTAAAAGGCTAATATGTCAATTTGGTAGAATTCTACATTCGCTTTCATAGGTGTTAATGACTACACATGGTGCAAGGCAATGGAGAATCAGACCCTGGCACTTTATTTCCTGGCCACAGTCACATTTGCTAGATCAGAATAGCAAAGGTTAATGCCCCTCTCACTACCTACAGTTCTTTGAAGGAGAATGAGGGGGCCTGAATAACTATATTGTGTGTGGTTAAGTAAAACAACAGAGCTATGGGACAATGTGGGGATAGAGATAATAGACTTGGGAATTCAAATGACATTGAAGGAGATGGGGTGGAGGGAAGAAAGCTAATACTCTACAACTAGTAGATCCCTGGTTGGTTGCTGGTGTGCACAAGCTCCATACAAAGAACTGTTGGCCTGGGTGTCAGCAAAAAAGTATCTTTCTTGTCTCATGTCCTTCACTGGGATGGAGGAGGGTTGAAAGATTATGGATGCAAAGTGGAAGTTTTTAAACATGAGGAAGGGGCCAGGCCCCTCTCTTTTTATTGATGGATCATTTCCATGTTAAGGGTTCAGTAAACAAGAGGTCATTTATTTAGTGCTTGAGTATTTGATTTCTTCCTGTTCCTTGACTCTGTATGAGATTCTGATTTTCGAATAATCTTAACCTTAAAGAAGTCAACATAGGCTAATGGTTAGAGCCATCACTAGCAATCAAGAGAAGGGGTTCTATCCCCAACATTGTGGAGCACTTGCTGTGTGGCATTGGGCAAGTTACCTAACCTCATTGTTCCTCAGTTTTCCCAACCTGTAAAATGGGGAGAATGATATTTAGTCACTTTTTGCAATTCTTCCCCTTTCCCCACATTTTCCTTTGCTTTGCTTGAGACTCCTCTGAAAGGATCTGAACCTCCCCAGGCCCCTCTGTTTGAGAAACATTATTTTGGGGCTTGATCCAAAACCCACTGAAATGAATGGAAAGGCTTCCATTGACTTCAGTGGGCTTTGGCATGCATGCAGATGAATGCAGCTGTGCATATTGCAGAGAAGACGAAGGAGGCTGATTGAAAGCTCCCCATGTGAAAGGCCAAAAGTCCTACGTACCAAGCGCAGCCGTTGTGAAGCTTGCCTGTGGCCCAGGATGCCCTTCTCCACCATCCCCTTGCCGGCTTAGCTGAACACAGAACTGATATTCTGTTTTGGGTTCTAGATTAAATAATCTCTTGTTCTTTCCATTTACTGGGAACGAAAAGAGAAAGAAAGGTCAACCCTCCATTCCATTCTGAAAAATCATAAGGGATTTTCTGAATCCTGCATCACAGCTGGGTCTGCTCTTGAGAGAGGTCAAGGTTATGGGCTCCGCTTTACCCCCATTACTCTAGGATGAGCTGTTTAGACGTACATGTTAATTACCATTATGACAGTATTGCTTATTATGGGTTAAAGCACCAGCAATGTGCCCAGCCTTGCATGAGATACAAAAGGGCAGATTTTCAAAAGTACTGAAGTGCTCAGGATCCTCAGGGGAGCTGCTGGGTGCTGAGCACTTCTGAAAATCTGGCTCCAAGTGAGCTGGCCCCGATCCAAAGATCTTACAATCTGATCCGGTGCAGGCAAACCTCTTCGCTCTTGTGGAGACTTAATGAGGTCATTGGTCTAGCTATTAGGAGTTCAGATACCACAATGATGGACAAAACATACAAGCCTGGAAAGAATGAACTGGAATCCCGAATACCCATGAATGTGTTGGTTAAAGGCTCAAGAATCCTCAGTGTTGATGTATCTGTGTTTCTTTTCATCAAGAGATCCCAGCAAAGAGACTTGGTGTCTAATGAAGATGATGTGTAAAGTGATATAGGTTAGACTCCCATACAACCAGGCATACTCCCTTAGATCTACTTGCATCCAGTTATTGATATGTAAGGGAAAGCAAGGTGACACAAATTACACACTGAGGAGTCAGAAGATGTCAGTTAAAGAGGATGGGGGCTGCTTTAGATTACACCTTCTTACATCCTCAGTTCATTGTTTTTTTTTAGCTACGCTCCTCGCTTCTGGCCTGTCAGAGTCTGAAATATGTCTGTTTTGATTCCCTTGCACTCAGTGGGTCAAATTTAGAGCTGATGTGTAAGGTGTGTGTTTGTAAGTTAATCATGTACTTGGCAAAGTGTGTGTGAGCCCATGCAAACCTATGGGAATCTCGGAAAAGTCTACATGACTTTAATGTACATTTGACAGGACTGGATGAAGTGGTAAGCTACACCAATTTATACTCTCCTCTAGGCTACTCAAATTCACTTGATTCACTTCTGAACTTGGCCCTTGGTCTTTAGAAGTCCTAGAAGCCAGTACTTGGGTACCACAATGATAGGAGCCTTATAAAAACCTGAGACAGAGAAATATGTAGGAGGCCACTTGCTTCTGCTGCTGCTTTAATATCTTTTTAGGTTGAAACCTAAGTAAGAATTGCACTTGCAAGGGCCAGCCGTAGGTTCTGTTGAGCCCTGCATAAGTAAAAGTCATTTTTCAAAACAGAATTTTACGTTAGAGCAAACACCACATTCCGATTTTTCTTCAGCTTGACTGTAGATGAGGTTTCTGTATGAGTGAGGGGATGAAAGAACTGACCCTTACCTTCTACTGACATCCAGGGCTGATAACCTTTAGCAGGCTTATACAGGAGCTTGGTTGACACAATCGGTCCATCACCAGTATGGGAGTCAGCATTGATATTGATGGTGAGAAAATTATGTCCACTGTCTATCATCCTCGGAGCATACTGAGGCACAGGAGGAACTGAGCAAGAATGTGACTATTAGACCAGATCTTTTATTTGTCTGTATTAATAAAACTGTGGCATCTACCTGTATTCCTGTGAATCCAGGTATTGCCAGACTGTATCAGAGCAATGGTCCATCTACTCCAGTACCCTGTCTCTGACAGCTGCTTCAGCAACATTTCTCTATGGTAGGGAAAGTTTCTTCCTAACTCCCCTTAGTTAGAGGTGGGATTATATCCTAAAGCATAAGGGTTTAGATCCCTCTCCAAATACTTGGATTTTTTTTTTCAATCTTTACCATCCCATTCATTTGCCAATTCACAAAAATTACAATGCAGGAGGCAGCTGTTTAAGGTAGAACTGCTTTAATATTTTGAATGCAGATGTTTATTTAAACATTTCCCTGTAGCATTGTCAATAAAAAACATTGCAATCTTGTGCCAGTCTACGAGAACCAGAAAGTGAAACTGATTGGAAACATTGTCCAGGCTGAATGAAATGTCAAGAAAGTAAACAAATGTTATCCACAATGAAAATACATCAGATTTTTAAAATTCCTTCATCTTTAATAATCCCAGGTAGGACTATCAAGAGGAAGGAAGACTGTTAAAATATGGGGTTTGATCTAGATAGTGTCCCCTTATGGTCAATATGCTCCCTACTGTAAGGGTCCTATTTCTATCACTCTTACTCACTTTGACAAGCACTCACTCACATACCCTAATTTTTAGAGCTGCTGAGCAAGACACAGAGGCCTATTGGTGGTTTACTTCTCTGTGTCAGTAACTCTTGTCAAGCCTGACACTGTTGTCATGATATAGAACCAAAAGGTAGCATGTAACATATCACTGGAAAACTGATAACTCACTGATCATTAATATTCTTGAATGAGGTATGGATGGGTGTGTACAAAGAGTTATGGATACGTGCTAGAATTATGTTCTTAAAATGTGTTTGGCATGCAATGCATAATCTCAGTCTGCCTTAGACATAGGACTGTATTTGCTTGTCTGACCAGCCTGGTCATTAGGCAGAGACAATTAAACATATATTTATATAAAAGGTAGACAAAGCCATGAATGTAGTGTGTGGGAGTTGGGAGGGAGGGGAAGATAGCCTCTTAACTATGAGTATGTCTATACTACCCACCATATCGGTGGGCAGCGATCGATCCAGCGGGGGTCGATTTATCACGTCTAGTCTAGTCTAGACGCGATAAATCGACCCCCGAGCGCTCACCTATGACTGTACTCCACCAGGGTGAGAGACGCAGGCGGAGTTGACGGGGGAGCGGCAGCAGTCAACTCACCACAGTAAGTACGTCGACTTCAGCTACGTTATTCACGTAGCTGAAGTTGCGTAACTTAGATCGATCCCCTCCCCTAGTGTAGACCAGGCCTATAAAGACAGGGGATCTGAACCTCACGATAAGCAATTGAATCAACTGATAGTATACAATACTACTGCATTACAAAAATGTATCGAGTAAGGTCTTTTATGAAAAAATGACACTTTGGTGATTAATATCATTGAGAAATATGTGCATTAACACTATGTGAGGTATTATGGATACTCACTGATATTATGCTTTGAAGTCTGTGACCAACATAGGGAGAAACCAGGTTTTCTCACAGACAGCAGGGAGGTAGCTATCTACTGTCTCCAAGGTAAATTAAGCATTATCGAAACAATGTAAGTCTGGTTTACATGCAGATCAGCACAGAGATGGAAAATCAACTGGAAGCCTTCCTGCATCTTGTAACTGGGTAAATGGGAAAACAGCATGGTGTCTACATCCCAGCAGGAGAGAAGCTTGGGCTGGGCTTACTTTTCAAAGACTGCATTTGAAAAATTTACTGGACTATACAAAGATAGGGGAGAGAGCTGCATAAAATTCAAGGGGCCAGAGCCCTTCAAATCACAGGACATTGGATCCTTCAACCAAGGGGGCTAAAGTCTCTGGGAACTATATATAGGTGAGAAACCTGCTTAGACAAAGACTGTAACTTGCTGAAATTAAGTTTTAGTCTCAGAAGAGTATTTTTACTTTTGTTTGCTTGTAACCCTTTCTACCTTTACTCCATTATACTTGGTATCACTTAGACCAGGGGTCGGCAACCTTTTAGAAGTGGTGTGCCGAGTCTTCATATATTCACTCTAATTTAAGGTTTCACGTGCCAGTAATACATTTTAACGTTTTTTAGACGGTCTCTCTCTATAAGTCTATATATTATATAACTAAACTATTGTCATATGTAAAGTAAACAAGGTTTTCAAAAGGTTTAAGAAGCTTCATTTAAAATTAAATTAAAATGCTGATCTTACGCTGCCAGCCCACTCAGCCCACTGCCAGCCTGGGGTTCTGTTCACCTAGGCTGGCAGCACGCTGAGCGGGGCCTGCAGCTAGGACCCTGCCTGACAAGGGGCCGGTAGCCAGAACCCCAGACTGTCAGCGGGCTGAGCTGGGCCGGTGGCCGGGACCCCAGACTGGCAGTGGGCTGAGCGGCTCAGCCCGCTGCCACTCAGCCCGCTGCCGGTCTGGGGTTCCGTCTGCCGGCTCCTGCCAGCCAGGGTCCCGGCTGCCGGCCCCGCTCAGCCCACTGCCGGTCTGAAGTCCCGGCCCTGTACACATAGAGTAGGTATCTACCTTCTCCCTGGTTCTAGCCATTCTCTTCCTCTCTCTCTGCACTGAGATGAAGGTGGGAGTGTGCTGAGAACAGGGCTCGGGGGTGAAGGAGCAGGCTGGGGGTTGGGGTGCAGGGTCTGGCCAGGAGCTAGAATGAGGGAGGGGGCTCAGGGTTGGGGCAGGAGGTTTTGGTGTGGAGCGCTTACCTGGGCAGCTCCCATTTGGTATGAGGGGTGCAGGTGGGAATGGGGGGGGCGGGGTGCAGGAGCTCCCGTTTGATGCTCAGGGTGGGATTGGGGATGTGGGGGTGCAAGAGTCAGGGCATAGGGTGTGGGGGGCCTGGGTATGTGTTGGGGTGTGCAGGAGCCAGGGCTGGGGTTGTGGGGAGGGGTGCAGGGGTCAGGGCACGGGGCTGGGGTGTGTGGGAGGGTGCAGGGATCAGGGCAGAGGGCTGGGGGTGTGGGCTGGGGTTATGGGGGTGCTCCCAGCTCCCTGCCCTGAGCGGCTCACGGTAGGAGGCTGGAGGGGATATGCCCTGATTCGACTCCCTTCCCCAAGGTCCCCGAAGCAGAGAGAGGCGCTGCGGCTCTGCTTTTACCTCTCCCCCGCTTTTACCTCTCCCGCTCCATAGCAAGGGCTGTCAGCTGATCAGCCGTAGGGTGGGAGAGAAGGAGGGACAGGAACCCAACACGCTGGGGGAAGAGGCGGGGGGAAGGGGAAGCTTGCCTGCCCTGCAAAGAGAGAGCGGAGGGCGCAGGGTGGAAAAGAGCAGGCCGGGCCGGGCAGGATTTTTAGTGGCACGCTGCGGTCTGCCTGGGTCCAGCAAACAGCAGCGTGCCATTAAAAATTGGCTCGTGTGCCGTGTTTGGCACGCGTGCCATACGTTGCTGACCCCTGACTTAGACCTTTGACATTTTGCTTAATAAACTTATTTTTCTTTTACTATACAACAATTCTGTGCAGTGATTTAAGTAAGAGTGTTGGTCAAACCCAAGTTAAATTAGTGAACTGGAGTGCATTGTCTCTTTAAAGGAGCAACGAACTAATAACTTCTTGAGCCTTCCAGGATAGGATACTGCTGGGAGACGTGTCTGGGGAACTCAGAAGTTGGGGTCACTGTTTGTTACCTGCAGAGCAAGGTTTGGACTGGCAGAGTCCTGGGGAGTTTGCTGGCAATGCAGACAAGCTGGTGTTGCAGGGAGTTGTGACAGAGCTTAGCAGTAGCAAAACTCACCTGCTGAGGCAGAGAGGGGTAACGCAGTAACTCACAATTCTGGGAACCTCAGCAGATTGTCACAGTGGCAGACAGTTTGGGGGAAATTTGGGACTGAGAGGGTATTGGGGGTTGCTCTGCAAAAAGTAACTGGGTTGTGGAGGCCAGGGTGTGACCCGCCTGCTGGCTGTTGGTGTTCGGGCTGTGAGCCATAGCAGCATAGCACCAATAGCATCCAAAGTTGCAGGGCAGGAGGTGACATAACCTCTTACTGGTCTGGCTTGAACCCCAAAGCACCACTCTGAGCGCCTGTATCTCTGAAGTCTATGGGTTTTCTAGGTGCATGACAATTGGGCTTCTTTTATTAAGATGAGTTAATATGCATGGCAGTGCCTAATTTACACTCTATGTTTGAAGATACTTGTCCTAGTCCATAAAGAAGATTTTCCATACTACATTTAATATCAGCAAAGCAGCAAGCTCTGGGCCTGATTCACAGCTCTTTCCAGTCAATGGAAGGACTCCCATTGAGTTTAATAATGTAGGCTTTGGTTCAGGCTCTTTAAGCATAGCTGGAGTATGAATGATGGAGCAGGATAATATACATGGAAGGGTTAAGTGTTTGTATAAAAAACCATAAACATGACATAAAGGAATGGGCTCATGACTCAACTCAATGCATTATCAGATCTCTGAACAGAAACTGCTAGAAGATAGATCGCATCTCAAGGATGCTATGGACATTTAACGGTGTAAGCTTCCCCGTGTTAAAAGAGGGACACAAGAACATCTAAAAGCACATGATTCAGAGAACCTTACCTTTAACTGTAACCCGGAAAGGCTCTTCTGCCATCCCTGCTACTGTCTGAACACTGCAAACCCATGTTCCTGAGTCAGGGGGCTGGATTCTATTGATATGAAACTTTGCTTCTGAGCGATTGCTAACAAATGAGACGGGCTGAAATGACAAATCATAAGAAGGTTCTGACAAACCTGAACAAAGAAAAACCTCCTCCAAGTCACTCTTTCTCCTAATTTAGGGTCTCATCCAAAATCCATTAATGCCAATGGTAAGTCTCCTATTAATCTCAATGGGCTTTGGATCAGGCCCTTAGTATATTGCACATAGTCATTACATGTAGTATATTACACCTCAGTCAGGAGTTTTCTAGTACAGACAAAATGGCCCTGGTAACTTCTGATTTTAATCTCACTGTTGCTCTGTTATTTCCTGATTACTGCATGTTTCACTCTGCAACTTTCACTTTCCTTTAATGTAGCTTTTAACATGGAACAATAATAAATATAACTTCCATTTATAATCCCTGTCCTCCCAAAAAATCCCAAAGTACTTCAGAGAAAGTCTCGCTTCTGTTGGCCTCAGTGACAAAACTTCCATTGATTTCCTGCTCTGCATGTATGAGCCCTCTTCACCCATCTGTAAAACGTAGCTAACTCTGAAGGAAATTTAACAGCCATTGCACACCAGTGGTTTTTACTCAGTTTTGCTGCTACAACTGGTTGAATTAGCAACTACCAGTAAATCATCCAAAGAACTCAGCCCTTCTTCTGTTTTGAGTTTTACAAGAGCATTAACTATTCAGTCTTTGCTGAATAGTTTGGGTGGTGAATTCTGAGTCTATATGTGTTGTTCATGAACAGTTAATTTCAGTCATTTGCTATTTATTATTCACTGTGTTTGGCTAGTCATCCAAGTCACATGGTATTTTTCTACTACCTCAAACTATTTAAATAGGGGGAAAAAACAAATGAAGAATGACAAACAGAGAATAACAAATAGCAAACAGCAAACACTCTTTTTCACAGACAAATATCACGGTTTGTATGCAAAGTAGGGGAATTTGTATGAAGGACAGACATTCCCCCAAACCATAGTGCAAACAGAAGCCTGTTCACACCAATTATCATGAACAGTGAATATAAAGCAGCACAAACATGGACGAACGTAGCAACCAATGGGAATTTGAACAAATGCTCACCCGCTTTTTCACCATTATACAGCAAGTTCTGGACCTGATTCAGGAAAGCATTGAGGCACATGCTTAAGTCTGTCCCTGGACAGATGACCATGTGCTGAGTGATTTTGTGGAATAAGGCTAGTTCCCTGAATTGGTGCCTCTATGAGTCTAAGCAAGTTCATAGAAGCTGGTTGAAAATTTGGCCCTGAAGATCTTGTGCCATTTTCATACCACCAAGGAAGGGTACTTGGTCAAAATGTCTTCAGTGTGCAATAACTAACAAATAAACATAACAATAATAATAAAAATAAGAAACAGAGTAGAAACCAACTGTCTTCTTACCTTGAAGACAGTTCCATCTTGTTTCAACAGTTTAAATTCTTCAATAACAGGAAGTGGCTTGCCAGTGGCTATACAAATAGGCTTAAACTCTGTGCCAGAATTGAGTTCCACATGGTCTGGCAAGTGCTTTATCTGAGGTGATACATCAGCTGAACCTGTGTAAGGAACCCAATATTCACAACATGACATCTGCTGATTGCTTTTCTCCCTCAGAGATAAAACAGAGCAGGTCAAGAGGTTAAAAAAAGCAGCTACAATTCAAATTCCGTGCATATGTTGAACAAATTGTAGACCTTAGGTATAGTGGGCCTGATTCTCCTCTTACTTACACAGGAACAAATCAAAAATAATTCCACCAAAGTGTTACACCAATGTAAAACTAAATCAGACAAGATTCAGATCCAAAACATATCAAGCACAAACAATATAGCTTTTGCAAAATCATACATTGCATTCTCTGAGTTAATGTGAAATACCCCTGCAGCTCATCATTGCCCAGACCCATAACAAGACAGCAGTGAAATCTGGGTAGGGTAGAAGTGCTACAATCTGATCATGATCTCAACTGCTCCACACTTCTTGAGCTTGAAAGACCTTGTGAGCCAGGAACAATATATGCATAGGGTATTTTATAAAATAACATGTGCCGGCTCCTTCCCGTCTCCTATCTCCTGAGAATTTGAAGGCTACTGTGGGATTACAATAGTGTGACCAGACAGGAAGTGTGAAAAATCAGGACACATCTTTTTGGGGGTACGATGGGGGGTATAGTTGCATATATCAGACAAAGCCCCTAATATCGAGATGGTCCTGATAATATTGGAACGTCTGGGCAACCTAGACTAAAACATAGATCCCAACCTTTTGGGACTACTCAATCAGTTTACCAGGTAAAAGCCAAATTCCATGCTGATTTACACCCTGGACAACTCCACTTAATTCAGTGGGGTTGCACAGAGTGTGAATCAGCACAGAGCTTAGCCTCCTTATTCACCTGTGTCAGCCAGTGCCTACTGTCTACCATTCAGCTGTGCAAGTCCTAACTCCCCGTGGAGCTAGTGTTGCTTCAGATCCCAGTCTGATGATAAACTTGGGGTTTAGAGAACACCAAGAGACACCTGGTGCAAGAACATGCCCAGTGGAATGGGACAAAGGAAGTGGCAGTACCCCACGACCCAGCCCTGAGAGTCATCAGTAAGGGCTAGATGCGCAACCCTTACTCATGTCAGTAAGTACTTACACAAGTATTCCACTCTAATGTAGGGAGAGGTATCATAGACTAGTACTCATAAACCTGAGGCACCAGACATGGTGTGCCTAACAGAGGCTGGCAGCCATTGCACTAGAGCAAAGGTTTGGAAACCGGTCCTGTGCCCTCCAGAACGAAACGGGGCAACTGCCATGGGCTATCGCCCATAGGTGGAAATGTTACGCCAGCATGAAGATTTGTTTCAATCACACTGGAAGAGGCCATTTACTACAGTGTTACCTTGCTTTACCTTCTTTTTCACATTGTAGACCACGCCAGCCAAACTGACAGAGGCAGCCCTTAAATCTGTCGCATTTCCCCCGATTGTTGCAATTACATTTGAGTTTACAGTCCGGACCATAAAAACCAGATTGGCACTCTGCAAGCACAGGTATTTAGGGTGAGCGTTAGTAACATGGAATGAATAAAAGCAACTTGCTTTGCATGCAACAAATATTCCTCCCTTACTTCAGACTCTTACGCACTGGACTCTGAGGCTGAATTTATTCCATCCAGTTCAGTGGTGGGTGCGGTCCATCAGGGTAATCTGCTGGTGGGCCACCGGACCGTTTGTTTACATTTGCATGGCTGCCCGCAACTCCCAGTGGCCGCGGTTCGCTGTTCCCGGCCAACGGGAGCTGCAGGAAGCATTGTCCGGCATCCAAACAGTCTGGTGGCCCACCAGCGGATTACCCTCATGGGCCGTGTGCAGCCCGCAGGCCACAGGTTGCCTACCACTGATCCAATTGGACTGAGTTTGTGAAGGCTTGTGTGCTTAAAGCATCAACACAGGGTCACGAGGATCATGACAACAACAAAAAAAGAGCAAATCTGCTTCTGTACTTGTCATCCTGCAAAGTTGCAAGCATCTTCAACTCCTAGCGAAGCCATTATTATTTGAGTTGTGCTACTACCCAAAGGTTCTATCAGGATTATGGCACCATTGTGCTAGATGCTGCACAGACAGATAGGAAAACTTGGTCCCTGGCCTAAAGAGATTACAGTCTAATATATAGTCAATGGAAGCTGAAGATGCTTGACAGTTTGCAGGAATGGGTACTGACATAACCCACATTTATCCCTAGAAATATGACAGGACAATTTCTCAAGGCAGGGGTGCTGGAACAATTTCTACGGGGCGGGCTGTGGGGGAATGCTGAGACCCATTTAACCAAACTATAAACCCTGTATATAATGGAAACCACTTCAAGCCAGGAGGTCCGATAGCACCCCTAGTTCCAGCACCTATGTACTCAAGGTTATAGAATATTTTAAATTTCAGTGACAAAATCAGTTAAAGTATGGGATACTGGCAATATTTTGCACTTATACAGAACCTTCCATCTGCAAACCTCATATGTTCCTCTTGGGTAGATCTGATTATTATCTCTATTTCACAGATTGGGAAATTGATGGTATGTGGGCTGGGCATTAACAGCCCGGCTCTGTCCCACTGCCATTCCTTTTCTTTTTGTGTTTTCCACACACTAAGCAGCAGCAAACTCTTTCAATGCATCGTGTCTGTGACTGTACCTTCATCACATTCCAGGCCCTTCCATCCTGTAGCACAAGAGCAGCCATAAGGATCTGGTAGACAGAACATATAATATTTGCAGCCTGAGTTCTCTTTACAGCTCTCTTTACAGGTTCTGCCAAATGTATTGTCTCCACAAGCTATAGAAGGGGGTGGGGGGGGAAAAAGGCCAACAGCGTCAAAGCCATGAAAGTGCTAGTTCTTCCAGTGATACATCATTAGGCAACATTAAAGAAACAGAAATAATGGAAAATAAATATTTTTACCCCCAAATATTGGGTCCATTAAAATCCATAACTATGTGAATCATCAGGCAAGATTCCAGGCATACCCTACGCTGCTGCTGCAGTGAAGAAAACTTTAAGCAATGAAAACAACCTTGAATTTTCTTTAAGGTGAGGAAATATAAGAACATGCAGTGCTTTGGATATTCAGGATCAGATCTTCACCTGGTGCAAATCACTGTAACCTCTTTGAATTTGATGGAGCTATGCTGGTTTATACGAGCTGAGGACCTGACCTAGAACTTTCCTTAGAACTTGATTATGGCTGAAATCTTGGACGTTTCCAACCTAGTGTGAAATCTTGGGCTCACTGAAGTCAATGGTAGTTTTGTCAGAATGAGGGCCAGGATTTAACCTCAGGTTTCCAAGGAGAGGTAAGTTTTCTTTCTTTGAGGATGTTGTTCACAGCAAAGGGTCAAGAAAAACCTCCAAATCTGCCATTGTAATTCAGAATAAAACAAAATGCTGAATGCCACACATCACATGTGTGACACATAAGCTTGAGAGTAAACAGCCATGTTATATCCTTGAGTGACATAAATGGAAGTTATAGTTAAACAAGCAAGTACAGTATTGAATGGACAATGGTCTCTTCCAACACTGTTCTAGCAGGGATAACATAATAAATCAGGAGAGTATTTATATATATAGTGGCAAATGGCCGACGCTATTGCGGTGGGTTCCACGCTTTTCCATGGTGTGATGGGGTCAGGGCGCTGCACCTTCCTCCTATTCTTGGGTGTTGATGGCTCCACTAGTGCCCTGGTGGGGGAGAGAAGGTGAGCAGGGAAGGGACCTGGGTCCGCCTCCTACTCCGGGTCCCAGCCCCTTCAGCTTCACGGGCTTCTTACCCTCTTTCCCCTTGGGCAGGGTTTCTCTCGGTCCTTTGTGCCAGGGGAGTCCCTCTGCTTGGGCAGGGTTTCCCTTCCCTTGGTACTCTGATCCTCTGGTCAATAACAGTACTCCTCCAAACTACAGTCCACTCTCCTTCCTTCCTCCTCTCTGACTGAAGCAGGGGGTTTTTATTAGGTCTCTGGCTGGGCCTTAATTGGCTCCAGGTACTCTACTTAATCTGTAGTAACCTCTCCTCAGTCCACAGGGAGGGGCTTATATGCCTCCCATCTATCACTTTCCTACTGCCCCCTAGCCCTGCTGTACCACCATACAGTATATATGTAGACACACACATATACACTACTCACCTGCTTGAATTTAAACATATGTGTAAACACACAGACACACACACACACATGTGTATATATATATATATATATATATTCGGGCTCTCAAGAAATTAAAAAAATTAATTGGTTTCAAAGTAACAGCCGTGTTAGTCTGTATTCGCAAAAAGAAAAGGAGTACTTGTGGCAACTTAGAGACTAACCAATTTATTTGAGCATAAGCTTTCGTGAGCTACAGCTCACTTCAAGTACTCCTTTTCTTTTCTTAAAAAATTAATTGTGATTCATTGTGATTCATCATTAAACAATAATAGAATACCATTTATTTCAATACTTTGGATGTTTTCTACATTTTCAAATATATTGATTTCAATTACAACACAGAATACAAAGTGTTCAGTGCTCACTTTATATTTATTTTTGATTACAAGTATTTGCACTGTAAAAAACATTTTTCAATTCACGTAATACAAGTACTTTAGTGCAATCTCTTTATCATGACAGTTGAACTTACAAATGTAGAATTATGTACAAAAAAACTGCATTCAAAACCAAAACAGTGTAAAACTTTAGAGCCAACAATTCCAAAGTCTTACTTCTTGTTCAGTCAAGTTTGTTTACATTTGCAGGAGATAATGATGCCCGCTTCTTGTTTACAGTGTCACCTGAAAGTGAGAACAGGCATTCTCATGGCACTGTTGTAGCCGACGTTGCAAGATATTTATGTGCCAGATGCGCAAAAGATTCATATGTCCCTTCATGCTTCACTCACCATTCCAGGGGACATGCGGTGGTTTGGGTTCTGTAATTTCCACATTGGAGTATGCATCCAATGAAGTGAGCTGTAGCTCACGAAAGCTTATGCTCAAATAAATTGGTTAGTCTCTAAGGTGCCACAAGTACTCCTTTTCTTTTTGCGAATACAGACTAACACGGCTGCCACATTGGAGTGTTGCTCTTTTAAGACTTCTGAAAGCATAGGCCACACTTCATCCCTCTTAGATTTTGGAAGGCACTTTGGGTTCTTAAACCTTGGGTCAAGTGTTGTAGCTATCTTTAGAAATCTCACATTGGTACCTTCTTTGCGTTTTGTGAAATCTGCAGTGAAAGTGTTCTTAAAATGAACAGCATGTGCTGGGTCATCATCCAAAACTGTTATAACATGAAATATACGGCAAAATGTAGGTAAAACAGAGCAGGGGACATACATTTCTCCCCCAAGGAGTTCAGTCACAAATTTAATTAACACATTATTTTTTTAACACCTCTGGAATGGTGGCTGAAGCATGAAGGGGCATATTAATGTTTAGCATATCTGGCATGTAAATACCTTGCAATGCCAGCTACAAAAGTGCCATGCAAAAGTCTGTTCTCATTTTCTGGTGATGTAAATAAGAAGAGGGCTGCATTATCTCCTGTAAATGTAAACAAACTTGTTTGTCTTAGCAATTGGCTGAACAAAAAGTAGGACTGAGTGGACTTGTAGGCTCTGAAATTTTACACTGTTTTGTTTTTGAGTGCAGTTATGTAATAAAAAAAAATCTACATTTGCAAGTAAGTTGCACTTCCATGACAAAGAGATTGCACTACAGTACTTGGTAAATGAGGTAAATTGAAAAATACTATTTATTTTATCATTTTTACAGTGCAAATATTTATAATCAAAAATAATATACACTTTGATTTAAATTATAACACAGAATACAATATATATGAAAATGTAGAAAAACATCCAAAATATTTGATAAATTTCAATTGGTATTCTATTGTTTAACAGTGCGATTAAAACTGCGTTTAATCATGATTAATTTTTTTAATCATGATTAATTTTTTTAAGTTAATCGCATGAGTTAACTGCAATTAATCGACAGCCCTTACATATATACATATATATATATATATACATATATATATACACACATACTTATACACTTAATTTCAAGCAGGTGAGTAGGGCCATTGGCCTCAGTGGGACTTCTTACCTGTTTAAAGTTAGCTACGTGTGTAAGTGTTTGCAAGATCAGGACCTTAATGGGATTTTACTTTCCTGAAATTACAGGAGTGAATGTATCTGTTCTATAGTAGCACAGCTCAGATGTCAGATCTCACGGTAGTTCAGTTCTGATGTCTGCAGCACCACACTACAATCAGAATACTAAGGCCTGGACATTCTGTCATGCATCCCACATGTTAGAGTAGGTTGCAGCAGGCATGTTGACTCAAAGGCAACCGTGGACCCTCCTCTCCTGTGACAAGCAGGCCCTTAAAGCCGCAGTGGTTGGGGCTGGGGTTCCGCTGTAACTCTTGGTAACATTGCTGTGTAGAAACAAATGATACATCTGAAGAGAGAATGCGTACTTACCCTTCTCACACATTTTCCCCATAAAGCCTGGAGGGCAAATGCATTCTCCAGTATCTTCATGACAGATGCCATTGTTCATGCACACAGGGCAGATTGAGCTGCAGCTCGGGCCCCACTTCTGAGCTGCACAGCCTTTTATGCAAAAAGTATAATAGTAAATTGTTTCCTTTCTCACACACTCACAAACTATACAAATCACGACAATCTGCCTGATCAAAGCGGTAATACTGGCTTTGTATATAATGCCTCTGATTCATAGGGACCCTAAAGGGCTTTAAAAACCTTACAAACTACACACAGTATATTAAGCATCACTTTGTTCACTACAGAAATACAGTCACCTCCCAAGTGGAACAGGGCAGCTGTTTATCAACGCACTGCAACTCTACACAATGCCTTTAAGAAAGGAAGCAAAGTAGAATTTCTCTATTTGAAACAGCAGGGAGGATTTAATACAGGAAGAGTTGCACTGTCTGGGCAAGGATGTTACGTTGAACACTTCTGCTCTGATAAATGTCATGGACTTTGACTACAAATACTCAGGAGCTCAGAGTTACATCTGATCTGAAAGATGTGGTACTTATAATATGCCAGCAGGTTTAAGCTCAACATTTCTGGCTTTGTGTCTATGGTTGGCAATCTGACAAAATTTCTGTCACAGTATTCTTCTTTCAAGGAGACAAAAACATATTAGCGCTAATTCATCCACTATCTTTGCTGGAGTTATACCAGCGATCAATATGGCCCACTGTTATCTTTATAAACTGTTTAAAAATAATCAATAGAAGTGTAAACACAAACTCCTGTCTTGATCATTGTTTACCATTTCCTAGGCTGATAAGCTACTAAGGGCCTGTTCCTGAACTCTGGAAACCAATAGAAATTTTGTCATTGTCTTCAAGAGGAGCAAAGACCAGGCCCTAAACTCCATTACAAGCACAAACATCAGAGTGTGTATGCTAGACCTGTTCCTGCAAGATGCTGGAGGAACTACAGGGAGCTCCCAGGGCTCAGCAGGGTTCAGTATGTGACCGCAAAAAGAAAAGGAGTACTTGTGGCACCTTAGAGACTAACCAATTTATTTGAGCATAAGCTTTCGTGAGCTACAGCTCACTTCATCGGATGCATACTGTGGAAAGTGTAGAAGATCTTATTATATACACACAAAGCATGAAAAAATACCTCCTCCCACCCCACTCTCCTGCTGGTAAAAGCTTATCTAAAGTGATCACTCTCCTTACAATGTGTACGATAATCAAGTTGGGCCATTTCCAGCACAAATCCAGGTTTTCTCAATTCCACCATGATTTCAACAATTTCCATCGCACCATCAACCTCAGCCTGGTTCAGTCCACACAACAGATCCACTTCCTGGACACTACAGTGTTAATAAATGATGGTCACATAAACACCACCCTATACCGGAAACCTACTGACCGCTATTCCTACCTGCATGCCTCCAGCTTTCACCCTGACCACACCACACGATCCATCGTCTACAGCCAAGCTCTGCGATACAACCGCATTTGCTCCAACCCCTCAGACAGAGACAAACACCTACAAGATCTCTATCAAGCATTCTTACAACTACAATACCCACCTGCGGAAGTGAAGAAACAGATTGATAGAGCCAGAAGAGTTCCCAGAAGTCACCTACTACAGGACAGGCCTAACAAAGAAAATAACAGAACGCCACTAGCCGTCACCTTCAGCCCCCAACTAAAACCCCTCCAACGCATTATTAAGGATCTACAACCTATCCTGAAGGATGACCCAACACTCTCACAAATCTTGGGAGACAGGCCAGTCCTTGCCTACAGACAGCCCCCCAACCTGAAGCAAATACTCACCAGCAACCACATACCACACAACAGAACCACTAACCCAGGAACCTATCCTGGCAACAAAGCCCGTTGCCAACTGTGCCCACATATCTATTCAGGGGACACCATCACAGGGCCTAATCACATCAGCCACACTATCAGAGGCTCGTTCACCTGCACATCCACCAATGTGATATATGCCATCATGTGCCAGTAATGCCCCTCTGCCATGTACATTGGTCAAACTGGACAGTCTCTACGTAAAAGAATAAATGGACACAAATCAGATGTCAAGAATTATAACATTCATAAACCAGTCGGAGAACATTTCAATCTCTCTGGTCATGCGATTACAGACATGAAAGTTGCGATATTACAACAGAAAAACTTCAAATCCAGACTCCAGCGAGAAACTGTTGAATTAGAATTCATTTGCAAATTGGATACAATTAACTTAGGCTTGAATAGAGACTGGGAGTGGCTAAGTCATTATGCAAGGTAACCTATTTCCCCTTGTTTTTTCCTACCCACCCCCCCAGACGTTCTTGTTAAACCCTGGATTTGTGCTGGAAATGGCCCACCTTGATTATCATACACATTGTAAGGAGAGTGGTCACTTTAGATAAGCTATTACCCGCAGGAGAGTGAGGTGGGGGGAGGTATTTTTTCATGCTTTTTGTGTATAAAAAGATCTTCTACACTTTCCTCAGTATGCATCCAATGAAGTGAGCTGTAGCTCACGAAAGCTTATGCTCAAATAAATTGGTTAGTCTCTAAGGTGCCACAAGTACTCCTTTTCTTTTTGCGAATACAGACTAACACGGCTGTTACTCTGAAACCTGTCAGTATGGACCCTCTCTCAGTAACTATGCTTCCTATGATCTTCACAGATTCTTCTAATGCAAAGCCATGATTGTGAAAGTGATGATGGAAAATTCCTGAGGCAGCTCCAATAACAGAGAAACATGACTAGAGAAATCCAGACTTGGGCTGGAATTTTCAGATTTAAGCTTGCATTTAATGCGTCAATGTGGCATTTGGATGTCAAAGGAGTCCCCAAGTTCTCTAGACATCTAAACAGAATTTTCACTGGCTGGCACCCACTAGGAAATCCTATGGTAAAACCTCAAAGACCAAACTCTGGGTCAGAGTCATGTTGATTGAGCTGCCCAAGACGGCATTTTTGAAAGCTGGGCTCCCACCTTTACAAAAGCAGCATCAGCATGCACACAGTAAGCAGATACGGCCAAAATCCCTGCTTCGAGTCAAATGGTCTCAGTTTTCTGAGAATTTGGCCCCTATTTTGCTTTTACAAAGGTTGGATCTCCATTTTATTGTAACACCACTTCAAAACACAAAAACAAAGAATGATCAACACAAAAAAGAGGGAAACTTACGTCTTACTATCAGCCTTGTATAAGCAGAGGTGAAGATGCTTCCTCCTATGTATCTGGCAGAGTAGACCCCTGCATCCTGTAGCTCAGCCTGAGAGCGGGTCACTTCTAGTATATTTGGCACTTCATGCCTGGGCACAGAGTGAATGAAAGTACCTGAGAGAAGGACATAACAAACATCATAATAGAGCAGAACATCCATTCATCCCTTCACAAGAGGAGCTCAGGTCAGCCAGTGACTGAAGGCATCTCAGATGAAAGCAAGCTGTCTACCACGTAAAACAAATCTGTTGACCATGACACGGTTGGGGCACAAAACCTCTTCTTTGCCTCTCCTCCAGCCACCACTGCACAGGAGTTGAACAACACAGTAATTAATGTCTGCAGGGATAGTCGCTCATTGTGCTATCAGTGAACTGCAGAATTCTGCTTGTTTTAGAGGATCAGGTCACCTTGTGCTTTAGCTAGTCAGATGTCAGCTTTTTCGTAGGGCGTGGTACATGTGTAGGTACATTTGCAAATGTTTCCTTTTATGAATAAGGTCACTTTGGATGGCCTCTGCTCTATGGTTTCACACTTTCATACATATATAAGTATTGGCCATTAATTAGGCCCTGATCATGTAATGTGATTCACAAACACAGACCCTTACTCCCTTGTGGAATCCTGTTGGTCTCTCCATTCCTTAAGCTCGGGCAGGGGGTAAGCTATGGAGCAATGGGAACCTAAATCATGTAGCAGAGAGAGATCTCAGTCAGATGCCCAGGTTCTGGAGTGCTCAGGGGGAATTGGGAGGGGGGAAAGGGGAAGAGATCTTGGAAGACAGCAAGTAAATGGAAAAAGAGGAAGTGGGGCAGAAGCACTTAGCGCAGCATAGCACTGAAGATATTGAGGGATGCAAGGCAGAGATACACGGGCGGGGACTGGTAGGATTAAAAGCAAAGGCACAACAACTGGGGAACGGAGAGCACAAGGGATTGTGGAGGGGAAGCAAATAATTTGATCAACTCTGTTTCTAGGGTTGGCAATCTGGCTCCTTCTCTGAGCACTAAATGCACAAGAAATTATGCTTCCTTCAATTGCACAGCAAGAGCATCACCAGTAATTACTTTAATGTAGTGACACAGGTGCTAGGTTATCACAGTGGTGGATGAGGAGGAAATAGAGAGGGAGAGTCGTTACCGTTTTTGTAGATCACTGCATCTTCTTCCTTTGGAATCTTTCTGATGAAGGAAATGTTCACATGCTCTCCCTTGTTCACTGTAATAGTTAAGGCCACTGGGAGGAAGGAAGCTGAAATAAAAATGGTCAAAACATGGGCTCAATGACTATAAATATGATCAATGACTGTGATTCCCCTAGGCTGAAAGCTGGAGGATAATCTACAGCATAATCAACACTGGTGATTTATATGTTTAGATTTCTGGCAAGAGTACACTGATTTCCTTTGCCATCAGCAGCCCCTGCTTTGTGTTTTAGCAGTGGCATGCGGGGGAGGTCATATAGGTGCTTGAACAATAAGGGGGTGTAACTAGAAGCAAGGAGAGGAAATTAATAATAACGTTAATACTGGCTGGATAACTGGAAACAATTCCTAACCAAGAGAGCCAACCAGTTGTAGAATAATTTCCCAAGTCTTTTTAGCCCTAGGGACATTTTTTATAAATAGACCGGGTAAAGTACTGGGTAAATTTACTAGGAAAAGATCTTTCACTGGCAAATAAAGTTTCTATGATGTAGTGAAATGCAACAAGTGTCAGGACATCAGTATCATATAGGGCCTACTGGAAGACAGGAATAGCAGTGTAGTGCTCAAAATTAGCTCACCATACTTTCCACAAGTACTGAAAGACACCATTCCTTACCGAGGAAAACAGAATAACTGTATTCTGAGAAGGGTTGGCCAACATTTTTCAACAAAAAATTTTTCTATCTGAATATATCTTTTCTTCAAAAGCTATATTTTCCAAGGGAAAATATGCAGTTCAATGTATTTTAAAAAAATTCTTGAACTGGAAAATTCAAAACAAAAAAAATGCACAAAACAGAAACCTACTTTCACACACTTTCCTGCTGTTTTCCAATCTTTTCCAGCTGGAAAACAGTAAATAAGTGTGAAAAGTGAGTTTCATTCATTTTCACACCTTTTTCACCTTTCGTGTCTATTTACCAGTGGAGGAAAGGGAGCAGGGGAGTGAGAAACCTGAAAATCCAGAAAGCAATAATGGAAAAAAAAAACCCCAAAATGACATTTTAAGTCAAAATTACACAAAACTTTTAGAGTAACAGCCGTATTAGTCTGTATTCGCAAAAAGAAAAGGAGTACTTGTGGCACCTTAGAGACTAACCAATTTATTTGAGCATAAGCTTTCGTGAGCTACAGCTTACTTCATTGGATGCATACTGTGGAAAGTGTAGAAGATCTTTTATACACACAAAGCATGAAAAAATACCTCCCCCTACCCCACTCTCCTGCTGGTAATAGTTTATCTAAAGTGATCACTCTCCTTACAATGTGTATGATAATCAAGTTGGGCCATTTCCAGCACAAATCCAGGTTTTCTCCACCCCCACAAACCCACTCTCAAAAAAAACTTCAAATCCAGACTCCAGCGAGAAACTGTTGAATTGAAATTCATTTGCAAATTGGATACAATTAACTTAAGCTTGAATAGAGACTGGGAGTGGCTAAGTCATTATGCAAGGTAACCTATTTCCCCTTGTTTTTTCCTACCCCCCCCCCCCGACGTTCTTGTTAAACCCTGGATTTGTGCTGGAAATGGCCCACCTTGATTATCATACACATTGTAAGGAGAGTGATCACTTTAGATAAGCTATTACCAGCAGGAGAGTGGGATGGGGGGAGGTAAATTTTCATGCTTTGTGTGTATAAAAAGATCTTCTACACTTTCCACAGTATGCATCCGATGAAGTGAGCTGTAGCTCACGGAAGCTTATGCTCAAATAAATTGGTTAGTCTCTAAGGTGCCACAAGTACTCCTTTTCTTTTTACAAAACTTTTAGTTGCAAAATATTTTGATACAAAATTAAATCAAGTTTGATTTAATTTCATTTTGAAAATTTTTGTGGAAAACTTGTTATTTTTTTGAGGGAAAAATTGGAGTTTTCTGACCAGCTCTAAATTTGAGATTCCAGGCCAAACTCTTTCTGAAATACAATATTGGGGGGTGGGGGGGCATTATAAAAGCTATCCTACCAAATTAGAAAACTCTGATTTTTCAAACTGAACTTTGGGGATATTCAGATCTCAATCTGGATCTAAACCTCACATTTTAGGCCCATTTTTACTGAGGACAATGAGTTCTGAGGCCTCCTGGCCAAAAGGGCTGAATTTTATCTCCTCCAGAGTCTACCAAAGCCAATCTGAGTCTCTGCTGGAGGAATCACTCAAGAATGATATAAGCTCTTATGCTCTGGGTCCCATTCTACTGCAGTCCCATTTGTGAGGATAGTTTATTTAGAGTAAAGGATGTGCGGGCTACAGACTAGTATGAATCATGGGGTAAATTGTTCAGACACTTTTCCATTCAGCTACGCTCACTCCCCTTGCCCCCACCCTTTGTACAAACATTCAAGCAAGCACACTTGGGTTTGTACCAAAGATTGTGGAAAGTTAATGTTGGGCCTGTAGCTGAAATTTGTTTACTGAAGTAATTAAATTCATTTTAGATGGAAGTAGAAGTAGTTTATAAATGCTAGGTCAGAAACAAAAGCCAAAGAACAAAAACAACAACAAAAAATAACATGTGGCTTCTGTCTTTATCTATCTGTCCTAGGTATTTAGTACATAGGCTGGAAAAACTTAGATGGAACCAGTTTCCATCAGAAAATGAAGTTCCATTGAAGTAAAAACGCTTTGAGAAATCATATTGATTTTCCCAAAAATGTGTTCAGGAGAAAACCTACAAAAAAAAGTCCTGACAATGTTAAACCATTCCATTTCGACATTTTCAGAATGAGAAGTTTTGATTTTTCATTTTGAAATTACTTGTTTCCATTTTGAAATGACATATAAAAACACTTTAAATGCTGTATTGTATTATATGCAGTGTCATTGTAGCCATGTCGGTCCCAGGATATTAGAGAGACAATGTGGGTGAGGTAATATCTTTTATTGGACCAATTTCTGTTGATGAGGGAGACAAGCTTTTGAGCCACACAGAGCTCTTCTTCAGGTCTGGGAAACTAACTCAGAGTGTCACTCCTTGTCTCTCCCACCAACAGTAGTTGGTCCAATAAAATAAATTACCTCACCCACCTTGTCTCTGTATTATATTATATACTGTAATATAACATTTTAAAAGGCAACATCAGATGTAATGGTTTGTTGAAATGAAATATTTTGATCAACCTGAAACATACAAACAAAAAACGTGAAGTGTCCTTCTTGGAGAATTTCTAAATTTATGGAGTTTGATTCCATCAAAACAAAGAGAAATTTTGAAATCTTTTGTGAAACAAAATGTCCGTTCTCTGCACAGCTCTCATATTTAGGTCCCAATCCTGTAAAAATGTGCCTATGTGCTTAATTTTACATATGCAAGTAGTTCTATTCACTTCAGTGAGACTAGTCATGTGAGTAAAGTTAAGCACATGTGTCATAAATATAAAGGGAAGGGTAAACCCCTTTGAAATCCCTCCTGGCCAGGGGAAAGCTCCTCTCACCTGTAAAGGGTTAAGAAGCTAAAGGTAACCTCGCTGGCACCTGACCAAAATGACCAATGAGGAGACAAGATACTTTCAAAAGCTGGGAGGAGGGAGAGAAACAAAGGGTCTGTGTGTCTGTCTATATGCTGGTTTCTGCCGGGGATAGACCAGGAATGGAGTCTTAGAACTTTTAGTAAGTAATCTAGCTAGGTATGTGTTAGATTATGATTTCTTTAAATGGCTGAGAAAAGAATTGTGCTGAATAGAATAACTATTTCTGTCTGTGCATCTTTTTTGTAACTTAAGGTTTTGCCTAGAGGGGTTCTCTATGTTTTTGAATCTAATTACCCTGTAAGATATCTACCATCCTGATTTTACAGGGGAGATTTCTTTATTTCTATTTACTTCTATTTTTATTAAAAGTCTTCTTGTAAGAAACTGAATGCTTTTTCATTGTTCTCAGATCCAAGGGTTTGGGTCTGTGGTCACCTATGCAAATTGGTGAGGCTTTTTATCCAACATTTCCCAGGAAAGGGGGGGTGCAAGTGTTGGGAGGATTGTTCATTGTTCTTAAGATCCAAGGGTCTGGGTCTGTAGTCACCTAGGCAAATTGGTGAGGCTTTTTACCAAACCTTGTCCAGGAAGTGGGGTGCAAGGTTTTGGGAAGTATTTTGGGGGGAAAGACGCGTCCAAACAGCTCTTCCCCAGTAACCAGTATTAGTTTGGTGGTGGTAGCGGCCAATCCAAGGACGACGGGTGGAATATTTTGTACCTTGGGGAAGTTTTGACCTAAGCTGGTAAAGATAAGCTTAGGAGGTTTTTCATGCAGGTCCCCACATCTGTACCCTAGAGTTCAGAGTGTGGGAGGAACCTTGACAACATGCATAAGTGTTTGCAGGTTTGGGGCCTTGCACAGTATTATCTAGGCATTAGCATCTGGACTTGCCAGGCCAATCACACAGCCAAACAGGGAATTCTAAGAACTGAATAATCAAATGACTGCTTCCTACAATCAAGAAAATTGTGAACAACCCCAGATTGTTGCCAACTCAATGGCTTTCACAAGTAACAAACCCATTTCTAAAACTGCAATCTATTTGTAAACAGAAAATCGTGCAAAATTTTAAAAAATAAGTTTCTTGCAACAATGATTCAACCAGCTCGACTAACGTGTTCAATCCTAAGACTACATCCACAGCTGGAGCTGGGGGTGTCATTCCCAGCGCACGCAGACATATTTGCACTAGCTCTCATTGAACTCACGAGCTCAAAAGAGCAATGTAGGCATGGCAGCATTGGAAGCAGCAAGCAGCAGTAAGGGCTCGCCACCCCAAGTCTGGATTGTGGTCAGGGCTGATGGCTCCTGTCGCCGCCCACCACTACCTATGCTACCATGGCAACACTACATTTTTGGTGCCACTAGCTTACTGAGAGCTAGCACAAGTATGTCTGTGCTGGCTGGGAATTGCACCTTATCTCCAAGTATTGGGGTGTTCGGTTCAGCGGCTTTTTGTTTTAAATGTAGACAGCTAGTATTAATTGTTGTTTTTCATGAGAAATTCGCTTTACAGTACAGCTTTTATTTTTCCTTTCTATTTTCTTTGTGTGAGTTGTTTAGTTTATCCATGGGACCTTTTCTTCACAGCATTGTTGTAATGGAAAGGAACCCACATGCCTTGGTGGGCTCAGTTCCAACGTATTTTTAGCGTGTGATCTGCATTTAATTAATTATTTTACAATAGGAGTCCACTCCTTAAAGAGATACAGTGGAACTGAGTTGTAGAAGTGCCACAGCCATCTTTGGCTTACATTTCTATAAATCCATAACCATCCCTTCCTCTGTAGAGAGATTCGGTTGTATTACAATTTTTTTCCCCTTCAGTCGCTAGGAATAGATTCTATACTATATATACTATATGCCCTGCAAGTCTACTAGAGTATACAGGATATAGGAGAACTGTCCGTCTACTTTGAGAATGTTATATGTAGACTCATGCAGAAAAATGTTCTTCCTTTACATTTTCACAGTATAAAGGACAAGATTTTCAAAAACGAATAGCTTAAGTTAGGCTCTTACGTCCCAATAAAGCATATAAGCATGCACTTAAGCATGTGAGCAATCCCATTAAAGTCAATGGGACTATTCATATACTTAAAGTTAAGCACATGCTTAAGTGGTGTGATGGATAGGGGCCCAAAGCAATTGGTAGATTTTCAAAATTGCCAACCATTCAAGAGCTCCCATTGTCTTCAATTGGACACACAGTGCACCTTTCAACTCATTTGGTGAGCAGAAACCCTTAGTGTATTCAGAAGCCTTTAAAATTATTCAGACAATAACTGTGGAGAGGAAAAAAGCCTATTTGCCAGCTACAGTAGTTTTTCCAAACCTCGGACCCCTTCCCTGACCCCCCTTTCCTCTCCTTGTGGTCTTTAATAGCTTTGAGAATGTCTACCATGTCTCTTTCTCACCCATCCAGAAGCTTACTAGTCAGTGCACATAATAGACTGTCTGATGAGATCCAAACTCAAACCATATCAGCCAAAGCTTTTAGCAAAGATTATCTGAAAAGTAGAAATGCAATAATCAAGACCCCCAAAATGCCCCTTCCAAATCCATGTACAGCTGGCAAGAAGATTATATCTCCTCTGGGTATAACAGATTTAGCCAGGGTAATCCACGTGTTGGGCTCTCAAGTCTTGGTTATTGTAAGTCTCTGTTCCCAGGCAGATAACCCTGGACCTTAAAGAGCTACAGTGGGTTCAGAACCCATCATCTCATCTGCTGAGGAACACAGGAAGTCAAGAGAACATCACCCACAACAACCTGCTATCTACACTGGCTTCCTGTTAGATACAAGGCCAAATTCAAGAATTTGGCCCCCATCTTCAAAGCCTTTTGTAGATTGTTACCTGAGGGTCTGCCTCACCTGCCTGATCATGGAAAAAAACACACCATTGAACAGAACAATGGAATTGGCAACCTCAAGAGTGACATGTATGTGACTACAAGGGACAGAGCTTTCTGGGTGACAGGCCTGAGAATCAGGAGTGCACTGCCAGAAGAGGCCAGAACAACCACAAACCTTATCACCTTCAGAACAAAATGCAAAATCCACTTCTTCTACCTCGCCTGCTCACACCACATTACAACAAAGAAACTTCAGCCCTGCTCACTGGGGAGAGAGAGCAAGAGAAAGTGTTGTTATACGTTCACTCTACAATTTCCATCATCTTGACAGTATTTGTGCAGAATAGTGGATTTGCAGGCTGAGTGCTGGTGTTTGAACTGTTGATGTCATAACATATTGTGCTAAATATTAGTGATGGGTGAACTTCAAAAGGTTTCAATGTTTGCTGAAGTGCAGAAAATTATCTAAAAGTTCCTATGTTTCTTTGGAGCTTATGCCAAGCTCTTTGCTTTGGAACTGAGCCTGGAAGTCTCATGAGATCAAGATACAAATGAGATTTCCAGTATGAATAGGTATGGTCTAGGAATCAGAGCACAGCAATAGCTCCCAGCTTTTAAACTCATCTATCTATCTATCTATCTAATACTGTTGCCCACCACATTGGTATCAAAGCACCTCCCACATAAAAGAGATTGGCAAGAGAGAAATTCTTGGTGGACTGTGTGGAGTCTCTTGGCTTGTCTACGCAGCATGGCAAAATGCACTAGAGGAATCCAGTTTATAAAGTGCTCTAACTGCTCTGTATAGACCCTGCTGGTGCACTCTAAAATGTACCTAGTTCCTGATACCTTTTAAAGTGCGCCAGCAGGGTCTACAAGGGGCAGTTAGAATGTAACAAGTTAGAGTGCAGTTTGCTGTACTGTGTAGACAAGCCCTCTGGTTTTTCCCAGATTACAAAAATTACTTGGGGTAGGGTTCACATTTTTAGAGTGCTTTGAAGATGAAAGGCCCAATGTAAGAGTTATTGTAGTTATTGCTTTGTGGGTTCAATGAGGCCACAATGGTCTTTCTTGCCATATTTTATTGCTTCCATTTTGTGCTGCTGGGTATAACCAGAAATGGGCAGAACATGCAAAAATGTAAGAGAAAAATACTAACTAAGAACATTAACCAAATGTTTCTGAGCGTCAGAAAAGAGTGGTTTGGACTTGGGCCAGATAAATTCTTAATGAATCCAGGCCCGTTTGCCCACTCTGGATCCACTACTGTACCTGCTCCTGTTATTTAAGGGTAGCAGCCAAACTGCAAGCAGATGTCCCCTAGTGGGGCTCGCACATCTCTGGTCTGACCTGCATACGGTACCTCCTAGTGGCATCTTCATTGTACGTATCCTCGTCACCTCGTCTTTGACTTTCCCTTCACAGTAGTAAGCTCCGATAGTTTCACTAGCTTTCTCCCTTTTCCACACCACTTTTTTGGCTGTTCCTCTCTTCTCGTCTTCAGTAACTTCCAGAGGGTCCTGGTGTTGGCTCATCAAGGCCTCATAGTCTCGCCCTATTGTGACAGACTCGCGGGACCTCCATCTGGCTGCAATACAGATAAGCGACGTCTCAGAGTTGCCCACTAGAGGGAGTGAATTGATCAGCATCAGGTCCAGCGCTGCCTCCACTTTGCCTACAAACAAACAATAGGTGAAGGGATTTTTCTGCAGAGTCTGAATATTTCTTTTAGTTCTGATTGTTCACCTAGGGGCTTCTGAAGTAATGCCTCACACTCAGTGTTTCCCCTACCTTAGTGAACACTGAACTAAAATAAAATGGCTGCATGTAAATATTCTGTTCTAGTTACTTTGGGAACAAACCCTGAGCCCAGACTGTGCCTTAGGAATGTGTGGAAGGAGAGGACCCTCCACATGTGGCTTTCCCCAGTTTGTGAAGAATGGGAAGTGAGCCACCTCTCTGGCAACACTGACCCCTTCCTCACACCTCTTTGTGGTGAGGGGTGATGCAAAGGACCATACATCCAAACCTATGGAACATCCTTTAAGACCAGCACTAAGAAGTAGGGGCACAGGGAGACCGTTGTGTCATCACTGCAGATATAATTGCATGCATGGATCAGTGGCCATGCACTTGCTCCAAGTAGCCGTCGATTGATGTATACAAATAATAGCATCTATTTTATCATTCATAAGCTTGCAGGTTCAGTAAAGATCCTGCTATACACGGCAAATGGCTCCCGGTGTTCAGCAATAAATTCCTCCTTCTAGTATCTAAATGGCTTCTCATAAGAACCCATTCTAAGTATTAGGGTTGGGTGATATCATGCCCTCAGTTCAAATGCACTCAGAGACATTTCTGTGAAGACTTGAGGTAGTCTTGAACCACAACACTAGCTCCAAAGCACTGGGTTCTAAACCGATAAGGAAACGACTCATTTTTTTCAAATGTGAAGAAAAACATGACCTCTGGGTTGAAACAATTTGTACCAAACATTTGCCTGAAAGGAATTTCCTCCCCACCCCCTAAAGTTTTAAGTGGTTGAAAAGAGGGAGTTATCATGGAAATGGGATCTTAAATGAAGCTAGCATGGCATATGATATAATAACAAACCCAGTGAAAGGGCTGTAGCAAGTAATAAGATAATGATTTAAACTCTGTAGGTCAGATGCTCAGCTGGTGTAAAGAGAGGAACTGTCCCTGAGTCTGGGGGACATTATGAGCCAAATCTGCAGCCTGATGTATCTGGGTCTTCATTTTTATGGGAAGAATTTGTACCAGGAAAAATGGAGATCAGTAAAATTTGTGCTGGAAATGGCCCAACTTGATTATCATACACATTGTAAGGAGAGTGATCACTTTAGATAAGCTATTACCAGCAGGAGAGTGGGGTGGGGGGAGAGAAAACCTTTTGTAGTGGTAAACACCCATTTTTTCATGCTTTGTGTGTATAAAAAGATCTTCTATACTTTCCACAGTATGCATCCGATGAAGTGAGCTGTAGCTCACGAAAGCTTATGCTCAAATAAATTGGTTAGTCTCTAAGGTGCCACAAGCACGCCTTTTCTTTTTGCGAATACAGACTAACACGGCTGTTACTCTGAAACCTATCTGAAAATATGCATCTATGAGCCAGTCATACTCCCATATTTCAAATTTTTGAGCCAGCTTCTCCACTGCGTTGTATCTTGTGCTCATATGCACATCTGTGCAAAATGAATGGAAAACATTACCAAATCAAAATGCCTGCTTTATGCCAACTTTGCCAAGGTGCAAATGGCTAGGCAAGGTGCAGGACAGTGGAAAATCAGACCCCTATTTGCATCAAATAAAATCCCCTTTTTCTTACCCTAACATGGCTAATTATATGTTGTCTGTTTCATGCTCTACAGACATAAAATAACTTTAAAACTAAAAAATTAAACTCTCTCCCATTACCCCCTTCCCTCACTGATCTACAGTCTGGTATGGTTATTGCTTTGAAACCCATACACCCCAAAGAGAATAACAAACACAAGAGTTATAGGGGTTCCTTACAATAAAGTACCTGAAGTGATCAGTGTTTCCAACAGTTAAAGACCCGCAGTTTAAGAAAGCATTTAAGTCCCAGCACATGCTTACTGGCTTTCCAACAAGTACATATTACTTACATTTTGATAGTCTGGACATGTCACATAGCCATAGGAACTAAGAATAACAAATACTTTGGACATCTGAGGTGTCTCCCATAGATCTGAAAGTGCTTTTCAACCACTTAACCAATTAAGACTCACAACATGGCCAAGATGTAAGTATTATTATCTCCATTTTACAGACTGGAAAACCGAGGCAAAAAGGAGGTTAAGTGACATTCCAGAGGACATAAGAAGTCTGTGCCAGAGAGAGAAATAGAAACCTAACTCCTAATCTTTTGTGTTTGCCAATAGATAAGGCTCCCTTTAATAATTTTAACTGATTTGAAATACTATGGTGATAGATACTGTTTAAAAACAGCAGATAGATACAGAGAGAAAGAGAAAGAATGTTTTCTCTTGGAAAGTGTTTTAAGTCTTAGCTGTTGAGGGAGTGAGATACAGAACCCCTTATGCTCAGTGCTTTTGGTTTTTGGAAATAAGGGTAACGAGTAGGGGAATGCTGTCATTTTTCAGCTAAAATGCAAACAATAATTGATTTCTGTTAAGCATCGCCTTTATTTTCCAACTTTAGATTCCGTTGTATTTTGTGTGTATACCAGCAGCCTCTCTGCAATCAGTATTTTGTGCCATTCCGTTTGCAAACAGCTTTCAGATTTGAAGCAAGGAGTATAGCCCTAGATAAAGAGGTCAAAGGGGAGCAGTGCTTACTGTAGATTCTGAATGTGTGCGTGTGTGTATTTTGTGCTTTAGTCCAAGGGGGGAGGTACCTCGCGGCATTCAATGCCAGCAGCTTCTCAGGGGAATGTAGTATCTTAAGACACACTGACACCCATCCCTCCCAGCCAGAGTACTGCAGTTACCACCCTTTCATATGCCAACCCTGAGAACTTACGTTACATAACAGAGAAATAAAACCTTCTGGAAAGGATGTAACAGCCATTAAAATAAATGTTTTATAAAGCCAAGGGTCAAAGAAGTCAAGTCATCCTGTAGCACATTACAGAAACGACTCATTTGAACACAGCTAAAGTTAAGTAGTTGTACAATGCAATCGTGGCCAGTTGGGTGTGTGCATTTTATTCATTTTTCATTTACTGCATATATAGGGTCTAAGCTTGCAATCTCTACTCAGATGAGCAGTTCTTCCTCGCTTATTCTGGGGCCAAGTCTCCTCTTGCTTTTAACCAGAGTAAATCAGAAGCCACTCCACTGAAGTCAATATTTAAGGATGAAGCTTCTACAACAGGTGTCTATGTATGTTTCCTACAGCGCATTGGGTGCATACAGAAAAGAAGCATACCTCTATAGACGTCAAGGGAGCTATGGCAATATAGAACAGCTGAGGAGCCGGCCCATATTCTGGCAACCCATAACTAAACATGGGCTTGAACCAAAACACTGGATCCTAATTTCCCCAAACTCTGGAGAAGTTCGGATTCAAATCTCGATCCCAACTCCGTGACTGGGGGGGATTGTTACATGTAACTTGTTCCCCTGGAGTGGTGGAGCTTGAGGCAAGGTTGCAAATTGGAATGAAAATGCATTGATATAGCTGAGAGGGGAGGGCTTCCATAGCACCTGCATGGACACAAATATGGACACACACCCCCACCTTCTGGTCACCTGTGGGGGTGGGATGGGTCAGCATCCCCATGCTGACCTGGTCTGAAGCTGCCACAGCAAGTCATTCTCGAGATCTCTAGCCCTTAAAGGGGTACATACCTTTTTGACAAGCCAGGCAGCTCCCTCTCCTCCTCTCACTTTAATGTGCAGTCAGGTCATTTGCTTACATGAACACTGATTTCAAGTCCAAAATATAAAAATAAAGAGAACATCGCCCAGCACTAAATGTTCCCTAGTGCGCTTTGAAACTGGAGTGGGTCACAGTGCACTAGGGAACTTTTCGTGCCCAGCAGCAGAGTCCACACAGTCCATTAGAAGAGTAGGTCTCAACCAAGGGTACGTGTACCCCAGGTGGTATGCAGAGGTCTTCCAGGAGGTACATCAGCTCGTCTGGATATTTGCCTACTTTTACAATAGGCCACATAAAAAGCACTAGCAAAGTCAGTTCAAACTAAAACGCCATACAGACAATGACTTGTTTATACTGCTCTATATACCCTATACTGAAATGTAACTACAATATTCATATTCCCATCGATGTATTTTATAACGATAACGGTACAAATGAGAAAGTCAGCTCTTTTTCAGGAATAGTGTGGCTGTGGCACTTTTGTATTTTTAGGTCTGGTTTTATAAGCAAGCAGTTTTTAAATGAGGTGTAACTTGGGGTATGCAAGACACATCAGACTCCTAAAAGGGGTACAGCAGTCTGGAAAGGTTGAGAGCCACTGTGTTAGAGTGCAGCAGGCTAGTGCAAGGTAGATTTACATCCCAGCTTCCTGTCTTCTACCTGACCATACAGACAAGCCCCTAGGAGAAAGTGCTGATACAGTAGATTTCTGCTGCAAGCCAACTGCCGAGGGCCACATCTGGGTATGGAAATTGTATGGGGGGCCATGAATGCTCACAAAACTGGGGGTTGGGGTGCAGGAGGGGGTGAGGGCTCTGGCTGGGTATGTGGGCTCTGGAGTGGGGCCAGAAATGAGGAGTTCAGGGGGCTCCAGGCTGGGGCAAGGACTTGGAGTGCAGGGACGGGGGTGAGGACTCCGGCTGGGGGGGTGGGCTCTGTGGTGGGGCTGGGGATGAAGGGTTGGGGGTGCAGGAGGTTCTCCAGGCTGGGACCGAGAGGTTCAGAGGGCAGGAAGGGGATCAGGGCTGGAGCAGAGGTTTGGAGCACAGGAGGGGGTTAGGGGTGTAGACTGGGTGGCGCTTATCTCAAGCAGCTCCTGGAAGCCATGGCATGTCCCCCTTCCGGCTCCTATGCGGAAGTGCGGCCAGGCGGCTCTGTGTGCTGACCCGTCTGCAGGTGCCGTCCCTGCAACTCCCATTGGCCTCAGTTCCCAGCCAATGGGAGGTAGGGGGCGGCGCTTGGGGCAGGGTGCCGGAGGAGGGGACATACCTCTGTTTCCGGGAGCTG